CACAAACACAAAAACTTATTCTGTCTTAAGATTGTTGGGTAAATACTAAAAAATAGTGTATTCGAAATGGCAAGAATAGAAGATGGAAAGATTGGGAGGAAATTCAAGGCTCGTGAAAGACACGATTTCCTTAAGACAGATTAGCCCTCTCCTGAATGTGCAAGAGATTTAGTGAGCTTCTATCTCCAGGATACAACGAATTCGTAAAGACTTCTTTGCACTAAAGATCTTCACCAACGAACTAGAACCTTAGAATTCAAAGAACACCAAGAGAAATAGGCTAGAAAGGCTAAGAAGAAAGCTAAGAGAGCTTGGAAATTTTTGGATGATTTGTTTGTTAAAAAATAAGCCACTATTTATAGTTGAAGAGTTACTTGAAGTAGTAGAATTGTTCTATTCATTCTCCCAAGTTAATTCAATTAACTTAGTTAGATACAATGTTTCACCAAAACCAAAGAGGTTTCATTCATGAACTTAATCTAACTATGAATATGAACATTCATCCCCCTTACATCCCATTAATATTGATTCATGAATTTAGTTCATTCAAATGAATCTACAAGGACTCCTCATCTACTTGGAAAATAAATCAAAATAGGTTCATGACTCGGGTTGATCAGGTCCGACATACTCATGAACTCAAAGGTTTTATACATTTCATGTAATGTCTATAATTTCATTTTTTAATTAATGAGAAACCAAAATTCTCATTCACATTAGCTCAAATTCCAACATAGCTTTCATGATTTTTTTTTAATTTTATTGATTTTCACGGATCCTGGATTCTCTGCTCTATTTGATTATTGGTACTATTATATGTTCATTCTGTATTTACATCATCCCAGCACATCCTCCTTACCGGCTCCAAGATGTTGAGGAAGAGATCCCCTCCCATAGATGAGGAATTGGTTGGCTATTACCTGACGAAGAAGATTATAGGACAGCTATCCAACAAGGAATCCAAGTTCTATCCCGAAGTAGACTTGTACAGTACCGGCAAACACCCCCGGGTACTCGGGTTGGCTTGGACGTGATGCTTCCAAGAGATCGTTACCCTCGGGCATTTTCCACGGAGAGAAGTGGAGAATCCGGAGAGACCCAGGTTTACCAATATCAACAAACTGTATCTTTGTGTATTCACACTGAATCCTGATGATGATAACTGTGTGGTGCCTAGATCCAGTGTCAACGCACCTCCTCTGAAGCCGTGTGTTTGTACCAAGCCCTATATTACCGTGTTCCGACCATTGCGGTTCTTTACTCAATCTTTGGTCGGAAATGAGGTAGCCTTGTTGGCTATCGAAAGGAGTAGTTGACGAGTCATAAATTAACCCTAGGCCTATTAGCCTAGGATTATATTACTTGGAGATTAAGCCACCGTCTAAACCTATTCCGTTAGGGTTTCAGGAAACAGGTAACACCACCTCTATATAAAGAGGTGGTGCCTCTCCCATAATTGATATCTTCTACCTATCTTCTACACCTCCTACACACGATACACACAACTCTCCCTATTCTTTATTCCCTTATTGACTAAAGCATCGGAGAGTTTACCCTCGAGAGACCCCCGAGGCTCTGTCTTGCAGGTTTTAGGCCGTCTGCCGCCTCCTAAATCATCGTCGCCGCCTGTCCTGAGCACCGTGCATATTCCATGCTTCGTCAAGTGGCGCGCCCAGTGGGACCGATTTGTTTGGTCTTCACCACCAAATAAATTTTTTAGAGAAGCACGGAATCTTTTGTATCTTTCGCAGCAAGAAGATCACGCAAAAAATTATCTTTGTGTGGCCAAGACGACGTTAGCCGACAAGTAACACAAAGAAGCTTTCGATTTCACGAATAATCGAGGAGCTGCACTTGCTGCACAGCTGATCGAGAAGAACAATTAGCAAGGAGCAATCTCGAAGATTGAAGTTTCGAGAGATACATCTCCTCGAAGGGGCAAGCATACCTCGAGCACAATAATACTCCTCGAAGTGTTCGAGAAGATGTATCTCGACTTTTATCTACTCAATAAATACCTTCTCAGAATCGAGGTAACACTTTCTCGAATAATTAATTTATCTCGAGATCGAGGTACATCTCAAACCTTTTCTAAATACGTTTCTCGAGTCTATATTCATATATTACTAATACCATTATTCTCCTTTTGAGTGAAATTGCATATCGACGAAAGACCTGCACGACAGGCAATAAAGGCTTCTCCCCTTCAAATAAGAGAAAATAGCCTTCTTCCCTTTAAATAAGAGAAAATAGGTTTCTCCCCTTCAAATAAGAGAAAGGCTTCTCCCCTTCAAATAAGAGAAAATAGGCTTCTTCCCTTCAAATAAGAGAAAATAGGCTTCATAAGAGAATCTAGGTACCATCCTCCTAATTCGGCATAAACAGGCTTCCCCCTTCTAATAAGGAACTCGCTAACACAAAGACCTCCTCTAGGCATTTTATTATCTTTATCTTATATAGGTGATATTCGAGAACGATAGAGTTCGAGAACTGGGGCAACACCATGAAATTGGAGAAGACATCAACACTTGTAGCAACCCATATCCTTCTCATCAAGTCTCGAGAATATGGCTTGTTAGGGGCACTTGACGAGTCATAAATTAACCTTAGGCATATTGGGCCTAGGATTAGATTACTTGGAGATTAAGTCACCGCCTAAACCTATTCCGTTAGGGTTTCAGGAAACAGGTAACACCACCTCTATATAAAGAGGTGGTGACTCTCCCATAATTGATATCTTCTACCTATCTTCTACACCTCCTACACATGATACACACAACTCTCCTTATTCTTTATTCCCTTATTGACTTAAGAATCGGATAGTCTACCCTCGGGAGACCCCCGAGGCTATGTCTTGCAGGTTTTAGGCCGTCTGCCGCCTCCTAGATCATCGTCGCTGCCTGTCCTGAGCACCGTACAGATTCCATGCTTTGTCAGTAGTAATCTTGCCTTCTTCACTGTTGGATAGGCTCGGTATTGTTCCGTATGAAGATTGTTCTACCTAAGTTGAGTGCCCTTATTAAAAGGTGTAGGCGATTTATTTGGCATTTGGATTTTGGCGGGTTATAGGTGCATGATGAAAGGTGCTTAAAAATAATCACTGGAAAAGGTTTTCATTTTGTATTAATATCAAATTTTGGTAGTTAATACTCTATATCTTAAAAAGAAAAAAAAACATTTCAGGATAGTTGAAGTACTTTTTTTTTCATTGGCCTCTTTTGCTTTACATTTTTAGGGCGATTTTAATGGCAGTTGCGGAGCCGTGTTCATCAATTAAAAAAGTCTGGTGGATTTCTGCATTCTGCGCCTGAAAAGGTTGAGTAGTTTGGTTCAGAATGAAACCCCCTCCAATTGATTAAAAAAAAAAAACCTCCGATGGATTCTCCGCCACCACATTATGCACTAAGGTTGGATAATTTTTTTGCCAAAGATATGAGATAGTTAAATTCAAAAAATTTTATTAATTAAGTACATTAATATAAAAAAAAATTAATACGGGGTATTTTTTAGCTTAATTTATTATATATTTTTTAAAATATTTAAATTTTATAATTTAAAAAATTAGATTAAAGGGTAATTTTGACCGTTTACACAAATTTGATAATAATGTTCGTAGGTTGACTATGAATCAAGGAGATATTTTGTAGAAGGTATATGGTAGTCTTAACAAAACTCGAAGGCGTAAAATGTAGTTCGCCCATAAATAAAAATAGAGGGAGTACTATGGTTGACTTTTCAACAATACGATACTAATCCTATTAATTAATTATTATTATAGCTCCATTTGGCCCTTTGACACATATAGTGCAAACTTCCCTATAGGTTTACTCACTTCTCTAAAATGATGAGTTTTTTCGTTTATGTGGACTGACGTGGTTCGGTTGATGCACGTAATAGTACCATTATTAAACTATATATATACACACATGAAACTTGTAAAGATGGAATTCATTTTTCATTAATTGAGTTGGATCAATCTAACATGGCACCTGTAAATTAATTTTGTCATCTTGTTGGCTGTTGCCATGGAATGCTACATAAATATGTGTAGATTTCAGTTTTAATTGAATAAATAAGTGGAAGAGCAACGTGAGCTTGATGAGTTGGGCAATACAGTCATGTCCCTCTAGTTTTAGTTCCACGTCAACACGTACTATTAATCAATTATTGATTGCTTGATTAATCTAAAAGCAGCAAACTCATCAAACTGATAACGTAGGAAGGACTAAAGTGACTTTACCTTTAATAGCGTCCGTGTGTAATTTCACTTTAACATTTCAAGTAATGAAAATTGGACTCAAACTATTTAGGGGAAAAATATATTGTTAAGATTATCATATTTGTCGCAACAGAACAACTATGTTGGAACTTAATAATAAATTCATCTACTAATTTGTTTTATCTAAGTATGTACTAATATACTGCAAAGTGTAAATTAAGTGACACATTTACGAGATGTCAAAATTCGGCAAGTCGATTATGAGAAATACCCAATATGCATGAATTTTTCATTGATTGATAGACTCTTGCGCTTCTCAATTTTCCATTAAAATTGATAGATTTGGAATATTACCTACATTGGAGTAAATATTTAATTTAATACAACCGCTTATCACATTCTACTCTTTTCTTTTTCTTTTTTTTTTTAAAAAAAAACCTACTTCTTTGGTATCATACCAATTCCAAGATATGTGATTCCATGCTAAATAAGTTTGAGCTCTACTTATTTAAAAAAAAAGAGGAAATAAGAGTAGAAAAAAAAAGAAGAAGAAGGAAATAACGACTAGATGAAGACGAAGGAAACGGCGAAGAATAACCGAGAAGGAAAGAAAAATGAAAGAAAATAAAAATACTGCTAGTACTAGAAATAAAAATTAGAAAACAAAAAAAAAAGAGAAAAAAGTCAAAAAACTTTCTCCGTGGCAAGAGAAGACAACGACTGGGGAAACACAGTGTAATAAAATATATATTATATATATAATGAATGAATGAATCTGAAAGGTGAAATGCCAAAGGGAAGAGTCGCTTTCCAAGAAATCATATGAATTTCATGACTTCTCTCAACTTCCCTCCATATCATCCCTCCCTCCTTCCCCCAACCCCACTTTTTTTTTATTTTTTTATTTTTACACCGTCTTTCTCTCTGCTCTTTCCTTTTTTTGTTTTGATTTCTTAGCTTAAAATTAAAAAAATTTAGTACTACTTGTGTGGCTGCCCATTTTTGGGTTGATTCTATCAAATTCTTGACGCCATCAATTCTTAGCCCCCGTACTTCACCAGCTTGCTTCTTCCCTGTTTATTATATTTTCTTTTTTTTTTGGGGGGGGGGGCGGGAGATCTTTTCGGTGTTTCTGAACCACTAATAGGTAATTTTTCTTGAATCATTTCTCACTTTCTTTTGATTTCCGAGTTGTTATTTGCTTTTTTCTAGTTCATTTTTCTGTTGGAAATCCTGAGTTGCTTATTGTGTGGAAACGATTTGGGGAGTTTGGGGACGGTGCTGTGTGAAATTGAACTACTGGAGTGTTTGATGCTTTGAAATGGACGGGTTGAGGAGGTGGTGGTACTTGTATTTAATTTTATTTGTTACTACCATGAGTTTCGAATTTGATTTTACTTCTTTGTTGTGGAATTGCTTTCTTGGGTATATTCTTTTGGAATAGAAGCCACTGGGGAGATTCTGGATTAGTTTACTGTTTAGGGCCAATACTGCCAATTATGTGCGCGTGTTTGTGTGCGTGTGTGTGTGTATGTGTTTCTTTAAAATTTTTATGTCTTTAATGGGCGTGAAATTGTTCAAGTGAAACCTTCTATTTTTGTTGCTGATTTATATATTTCAATTTTGGATTCTGCCGTTAATTTCAGCTTTAGTCTCTGTCTCATTTACTTTGTTTGTGTTAGTTAGCATACATTTGAGACTTGGAGACCCAAAATTGTATATCATTTTCAATTTTCCCCTGGGCATGATTGAAATTCTAATCATCAATTGCCCCTTGTTCTAAATTTGCTTCATGTGAATGTTCAGGAAATGATAGAATACTTTGTTTGATGTTTGATTTTTTTTTTTTTTTCAGTTGATGATAATGTAATTGGTGGTTCTAGATTTTTTTTTGCTGTTTATTGGTTTGAAAATAACTTAGAATTTGACTAGTGTTGATTCATTTGTTGTTTTTGGGCTTGAGAACTACTTAGGATGAACGGTATTGAGTATTGACTTTGTTTCTTTTTTTTTTTTTAAGATATCTTTGATCAATAGCCACTGCTAATACGGGGACTGAGAGCGTCAAATGGTCTTGGTATCAAGATGATTATAGTGAATCCGGGTACGAATTCATGGATAGTTCTGATAATAAGTTGTCCGAGATAGTTGACAAGGTAACATCATGGATTCCAAGAAGAATGGAGCCTGTGAATGTATCCAGAGACTTCTGGATGCCAGACCAAAGTTGCAGGGTTTGTTATGAGTGTGATTCTCAGTTTACCATATTCAACCGCAGGCATCATTGCCGTCTCTGTGGACGGGTTTTTTGTGCCCGTTGCACGTCAAACTCTATTCCAGCCCCTACAGAGGAGGGTAGTAGGCTAAGTCGGGAAGATAGGGAGAGGATTAGGGTCTGTAACTATTGCTTTAAGCAATGGGAGCAGCAAGGAGTAAATACAGTTGATAACGGAATGGCTGCATCGAGCCCTGGGCTTAGTCCATCTCCTTCAGCTGCAAGTTTGGTCAGTAGCCACTCAAGCTGTACCTGTAACAGTGGCAGCAGTGATGGTTCAACTCCCTATTCCACAGGGCCATACCAGCATGTTCCATATAATAACGACCACAGCCCTCGCGAAACTAATAATCAAATCGATAAAGATATGGTAGAGCATTACCAAACAACATCAAGTGCAGGAAAATCAAGCTCCGTTGCTGCTGCCGATCCTTTAATTGATCAGTATGGTCTTTGTAACAGGTATCGTAGTTCGTAGGCCATGTTTCATTGCCACCAGATCTGTCTTTTCAAGATCAAAAGTTTAAGACATTTAATGGTGTAGATTTTTGGAATATTTTCAAAGTGAAGAATAAAAAGATAAACACTGCGGGCACTTTACATGATCTTTCTTGTTGCGGTTTTAGTGTCAAATGGGAGTTATTATGCTTTATTCTTTGCACAAAGGTGTCTAAAATTGGATCGTGTGCTCAAAATCATGTATGGAAATTGAACGGTAAATGAGAAACGTCTCTATCAAACATTACTTTCCTGAATATCCCAAAACAAAATCTTCAACTGGTATTTAGTTTATATTTTACTACGTGCTAGTTTAAATAAGGCTAGAATTACCTCTCTGTTACTATGGTCTATTTCCTTTTTTGAATGTATATTTCCTCCTTCATTAGGGGTTAAAGACATGTCTACAGAGTTGGAGTAGGCACGTCTTTTAAATTTTCTAGAATCAAGAGGATTAGTCTCATGTGTCATGTTGTTGATGATTTTTTGAGAGGTGTTATAGCTGCATTGGTTAAGGCAAAAACTCTTTGTTTCCATATTAAGCCAGCTTTGTTAACTTTCAAGATGGTTTTCGTGCCAAAATGTAGAATTGACCGTTCTAGAACCAATATCAGGAAATTTGATCTGGGTGATGCTGATATATCTTTTGGTCTTAGATTCTTTATATGTAGGGATAACAGTTTTGTCAAAGAAGAAATATATTATTGGAATTTTGATCTCTTATTTACTTTATAGAGAATTGCAATGGCTTTGGACAACAATATTGTTTTGGCAATTATTATGTTTCTTATTCAAGAATCAAGCTCGTTCTCCTCCATTACACTGTTTATTTTGATATATGAATCTGAACTCTCATAGTCCATCATAACTCATCTGTTCTGTTTACTTGTTTGTCCCCTTGTCCCCCACATTTTTGGTTCTACCCATAGTGCCAGGAATAGTGATGAAGACAAAGATTACGGTATTTACAGACTGAATTCAGAGCTGAGACACTTCTCCCCTCCTAAGGTCCTTTATGGCAATGAAAATTACAAGGAGATCAGTCATAACTACAGCCTGGGTGATTTGCAGTCTGATGGAGATAAAAATGAAACAAATCGTAAGCTTACTCTACCATCTGAAAATACAGATGTGTGTGTTTCAGAAATTACAGAGAAGTTTGGCAAAGAGACAGAAGGTTTAATTGATATTGCTTCAAGTGAAATTCAATCTTCATATGATGTGAATCCTATTGATGCTGAACCTCTAGACTATGAGAACAATGGCCTATTGTGGCTGCCTCCCGAGCCAGAAGATGAAGAGGATGAACAGGAAGCTATTCCAAGTGAAGAAGAAGAAGATGATGATGATAGAGATGTTTCTACAGGAGAATGGGGTTACTTGCGCTCTTCTGGAAGCTTTGGTGGTGGGGAGCATCATAATCGACATCGATCAATTGAGGAGCATAGAAACACGATGAAAATGGTTCTTGATGGGCATTTTAGGTCTTTAATATCTCAGTTACTGCAAGATGAAAACCTACCTCTTAATGAAGAAGATGGCGAGGAGAGTTGGTTAGAGATAGTTATGTCTCTATCTTGGGAAGTTGCTTCACTTCTAAAACCAGATATGAGCAAGAGTGGAGGAATGGATCCTGGCGGATATGTGAAAGTAAAGTGCATAGCTTGTGGGCGTCGTTGTGAGAGGTATTTGTTGCTTATATTTTGTAAATAACTAACTGCATAAGACTAGCAATGTAGTCGTCCTCTTATGTGCGATCCATTTTCATGCCCTTATGGGAACATACAATATAATGAAATTTGAGTATGCTTCCTCCATTTCAAAATGTAAGTTTTTTTAGACTTGGCACGTAAACTAAGGAGACAATCATCCAACAATTAATTTATGTGTTAAATATCTTTTTTACCCCTCATTAATTACATTGAAACTATAAACAAGACTAAATAAAAATAGATTAACATCATTTATTGAGGGTAAAGTTGGAAAATTAGTCATTAATTTGCCTAGAATTTGTAAAACGACCTACATTTTGAAAAATCTCTCCAAACCTAAAACGGCCTACATTTTGAAATGGAGGGAGTACCCCTAACATGGACCATGTCTACTATTTTAAATTTTTTTTAATAGTAAACTTGCAATTGGATGCTTATGTGTTTCCATGAAGCTTCTTTGGCCCCCCGGCTTGATGAAAAGGTGAAATTTATTATTCCTTGGCATGTTTGTAAATAACAAAACTCAAAAAATCTGGATTTACCTTGGTTAAGCTTGTTGACATTGTTCCAGTACAAGTTCTTTCTCAGTTCTCTATAAACTGCATGCTGAAGGTAGTTGCTGGCTTTATAAAGCAAGATGATTGTTACAACTTGGGCACAATTTGTTGCCTTCGGTCTTTCTGCATGTTTTTATCCTGTTCTGCTGTTTGATTTTTTGACTTGTAAGATTTTGTCCCTTTTCTATTTTTCCATCAGCACGGTGGTTAAAGGAGTTGTTTGTAAGAAAAATGTTGCCCATCGGCGAATGACATCAAAAGTTGAAAAACCTCGGTTGTGCATTCTTGGAGGGGCCCTTGAGTATCAGAGGGTAGCGAACCATTTGTCAAGTTTTGATACATTGCTGCAGCAGGTTTTGACTCAATTTTACTCTTTTTACCCTCTGATTAAAGCTTTAAAATTTTTCTTCCATTATTGACTAATTAAGTAAATGGATCTGCTTCAGTGATCTTTTCATTATGTTTCTGTTTTTGTATAACTCTTAGGAAATGGACCATTTGAAGATGGCTGTTGCCAAGATTGATGCTCATCACCCAAACGTACTTTTAGTGGAAAAATCTGTGTCTCGTTTTGCACAGGAGTATCTTCTTGCTAAAGATATTTCTCTTGTTCTCAACATAAAGAGGCCTCTTCTTGAACGTATATCGCGTTGCACTGGTGCCCAAATAGTGCCTTCTGTGGACCATCTCAATGCACAAAAGTTGGGATTTTGTGAACTATTCCATGTGGAGAAGTTCGTTGAAGAGCATGGTAGTGCTGGTCAAGGTGGGAAAAAACTGACTAAGACGTTAATGTTTTTCGAGGGTTGCCCGAAGCCGTTGGGCTTTACGGTTAGTTTAGCGTTACATTCTTTTCCTCATATTAGATGCTTCTATTGTCTGGTTTACAATGCCTTTCATTATCCTCCGGGTACAGGGATTACCATGGATCCATTAGATCTCACTCTGTTTCTTCATGAAATGATGTTAATGAAGCAAGCTATGATTAAAGGTTGGAATTAATGAAATTCTCATTTGTGGATATGCAATCTTTTGTTCCTAATTACTGAAAGATGGAATGTATTGTTGTGTTAGCAAGTCTTTGCGATATGTTTTTGTCTGTTCTCAAGGAGACAGTAGAAATATTTTTAGCACTGAATGCTTAGGAAGCATACGGTCTTGATAATTTCACTATGTGCCTTGTTCTCTTATGGTTGTTAATTGGTGTTTATACATTCCAAAATTTTCCAGGACAATGTTTCTAAAAAATTTAAAATTGTCTTCTTCTTTTTTTAATATTTATAAAAAATCTGCAGATTCTGTTGAAGGGTGCCAATGGGGATGAGCTGAAGAAAGTCAAGCGCGTACTGCAATATGGAGTATTTGCAGCTTATCATCTTGCTCTTGAGACATCCTTTCTCGCTGACGAAGGAGCCTCTCTTCTAGAACTCCCTTTGAAGGCTCCCATAAAAGTTGCACTCCCTGATAAACCAAACAAATCGACTTCCACTATACGGGAATTCACTTCTGCACAGGATAACCATGCCTTCAAGAAGCAAAATCAATCGGGCAACACATTTTTACATGATAATGCACCTTCCATTAGTTGTTCACCATCCCAGGGACATTTAAGTTTACCTGACAATACCATCTCCACACAAACTCTTCAGAGCCATCTGAATTCTGTCCCTACCTTGTGTCTTTCAAGAGATGTAGAAGAGTTTTGTGGTCATTATGACACGAATAAGGAGATGATCGGTATAGAAACACCAGATGTGTCTTCCATAGCTGAACCATCACTATATCTTGATGACAACGGAGCCCAGGACAATTTGATATCCGATTGTTGTTGTGATTTTGTGGCACTGGGGAAAGGAGCTTGCCCTTTACACGGATACAGAAATCCATCTCCTCAAAACTCAAGCACTTTAAATCTTGTTTCGCTAGACCCTGATTCCAAAGGTCAATATAATGAGGTGGATTCTCTGAATGATGAATTTTCTCCTTCGGCCTCTGATAATCAGAGCATTTTGGTATCACTGATGAGTAGATGTGTCTGGAAAGCGTCTGTATGTGAGCGTGCTCATCTCTTCCGTATCAAGTATTATGGAACCTTTGATAAACCTTTGGGCCGGTTTTTGTTGGAGCAGTTATTTGATCAGGTTTATATTTGCCTTTTTGCCCGTCTACAGTTTTTACTTGAAACTTATATGGTGAATCAGAATTTGTTTAATTTTTTTTTCTGTTTTCCTTAGAATTACCGTTGCCCTTCATGTCAAATGCCTTCTGAAGCACATATAAGGTGCTATACTCATCAACAAGGAAGTGTGACGATATCAGTGAAGAAATTGCCTGAAGTTTTCTTGCCTGGGGAGCAGAAAAGAAAGATTTGGATGTGGCACAGGTGTCTCAAATGTCCTCGTACGGATGGTTTCCCTCCTACCACCAAGAGAAAGTTAATGTCCGATGCTGCTTGGGGTTTATCTTTTGGAAAAGTTTTGGAACTGTGCTTTTCAAATCATGCTGCTGCAAACAGGGTTGCAAGCTGCGGTCATTCTCTGCATCGAGATTGTTTGCGGTTTTATGGGTATGTAATGTGATCTTTTCCCCATTTGGTTATGCATGTCTTTGTTTTTTCTAAGATATCCATTATGGTATGGCTTTGATGAATGTGATGCATACTTTTTTGTTGATGTTGTAATTAGATAGGTATTTGGTATGAACAATAAAATGAAGAATATGGTGTGTACTATCAGAAGGGTTAGCAAGGGTAGACATCAATTGCATAAGGGTATTAAGTTTCTGGTTCTGTTCAAGAGTAGTTTATTCAATGAAAATCAGGTCTAATTGCTAGATTAAACATTGCAGCTTTTGGAAAATCCTACATATTGCAGTAATAGGGGAACTTTCTCTCACAACTTTTAAAGTTGTCATGACAGTGATGAAAACATGGTTTTACTTGGCCAAATTGTCCTGTCACATTACTTTTACTGACCAGTTAGGTACAGGAAACTTGAATTTGACTTGATTATTATGAAAATCCTTTGATAAATCTTGCATAAAGGCATTAGTGGTACATTAGTTATTCTTGTTCATTTCCTTTAAATTTGGGTTTATTTCATGTCTTTTTCTTCTTTTTTATTCTGAATATTCCGTGTCAGCCAACTACACCTCCTGCTCTTAAGTAGTCACTTTCTAGTAACTCTCTTTTAGTAGTTTTATAAATTCCTCCTATTTCTTTGTAGAAGGCAACAAGGGTCTACTTGTCCAATTTCATGCTCTGTCCTCCTCTAAGTAGGCTCATTAGTTAATTTTGCATTATCTTTTTGGATAATAGTGATTTTTTTTATTATTATTATTTTTTTCTCTGGATTTGCAGTCTTGGAAGCATGGTTGCTTGTTTCTACTATGCACCCATTAATGTCCACACTGTACATCTCCCTCCGCCAAAGCTTGAATTCAACTATGATTTTGAGGAGTGGATTAGAACAGAAGCTGATGAGGTACAGCTTCATTGCACTTTCTCCATTCATTGACTGGTAGTTAGTTTGCGCTAACCTTGTTTTGTCCTGGCCGGCCTGAACATCACATGAATAGGTCCGTAGGAGGGCAGAGCAGCTGTTTTCTGAAGTTGTCAGATCTCTTCATCAAATATCTGAAAGTATCCCAGTTCACAATGGCGATAAGGCTCCAGTCATTCAGCAACTTGAAGAAATGGAAGTGACGCTAGAGAAGGAGAAAAGAGAATTTGAGGTTATCTCTGAGCAAAGAATAAATTTTATCTATTTTTTAATAAAGCACAAGATCAACATTTTGTAGTGAATCCATATTATTTTTTAATTAGGAAAGGAATTTTTTTTTTTTAAAAAAAAAGTAGTTCAGCTCAACAATTAGTGATAGGAACATCACTTATTTTTAGACTCATATACATACTTGCATTTGAGACCCGCGTAATCTATTAAGACGCCATATTTATACTTATCAAACGCACCTAATTATTAAGTACTCCCTCTGTCCCAAAATTATTGTCCAGTTTAGATATTCACTTTTAGTTCAATTTGTATTAAAAATGAAAATCTGAACTGGACAATAATTTTGGGACGGAGGGAGTACTTAATAAATCAGTTTAGCGCTAAATCTGTTGAGTTGCCGTGAGGTTAAGTTATAAAACAATTTTAATCAATTAATAAGTTTCTTTTCCAAAAAAAAAAAAAGAAAAGAAAATCAATTAATTTTTTGCTGAGTTGGTTTATCAAACGGAAAGGCTGTTTTTGTTTTGTTCTTCTAAAGTGAAGTCTTTCACATTTCCTGTTATTTGATAGTAGATCAATTTTTGCTTTATTCTCAGCTGATTCAGAATCATGATCTTTTTATCTTGCTTTAGGTATCGCTGCACCAAGTGATTGGCAGGACAGTTGCAGCTGGTCAACCTGTTGATATTCTTGAGATAAATAGGTTAAGGAGACAGCTAATCATTCAGGCTTACGTATGGGACCAGCGTCTTGTACAATTTTGCAATTTTAAAGACAATAACCTTCATGGAATTAGCCGTTTGATTCCAAAAGTAAAGGAAAAAGCTGTTTCTGGTCAACCTCCTGAGATAGTCTCAACTTCTAAGCCTAGCAAAAGCTTTAGTAGCTGTGATTCTTTCCTTCAGAATTTGAATCCAGAGGTTACATTTAATCAGGGAGGAAATGGCAATCTGAACTCTTCTGATGGGAATCACGGCAGGAATGAGGTTGATCAAGGCTCAAACTATCCCCATGATGCTGAGGTTTGTAATCATTCTGTAACCCATGTTGATAAGGAGTGCGATCCGGAGAATGTGAAGACCGTGAGGCGGGTGCTTTCAGAGGGGCAGTTCTCCAATGTGAAAAATCTATCGGATTCTCTTGATGCTGCGTGGACTGGTGAAGGTGACCCAGTCTATTTCGCATCAAAGAGGGATAGTTTTCCAGACCCAGCAGGTGCTTCAAATATGAATTCCACCCTGGCTAGCCAAAATATAGACAGTGGAAGTGCGCAAAGTGAAGCTGACTATCCTAATTCTTCAAAGGGGTCTGAAATCAAAGAACAGTCTAATAGTTGGGTCACGATGCCCTTGTTGGCTTTGTATCATTCATTTGTTAGGAATTCGATGGTAAACGAGCAGAAGCTTGATATGATTAGTAGCTATAATCCTGTTTATATCTTGTCACTAAAAGAATTGTTGCATCAAGGCTGTGCCAGGCTGCTGCTACGTGAAGGCATTCATGACATTATTCTTCCTGTTTATGATGATGAACCTACTAGTGTCATCGCATTTGCTCTTACATCACCAGATTACCATGATCAAATGATCAGTGATCCCATCAATGATGGTCTGGAGACATCCTCATCCTTGCCTATCTTAGAGTCGGAGAATCTTCTTTCACTTCCTTCTCTTGATGTTGCATCTCGTGGATCCCTTAGAAGTCCTGGTTCAGCAAATGAAAGCATTTCCTCACCTTCTGTGTCCCGAAGCTCCACAATTGAGGAGCATCAGTTTTATAGCAATCAATTGCATGTCAGAGTATCATTCTCAGATGATGGTCCTCTGGGAAAGGTTAAGTATTCTGTGACTTGTTACTTCGCTAAGCAGTTTGAGGCCTTAAGAAGAACTTGTTGTCCTTCTGAGTTAGACTTCATACGATCTCTAAGTCGCTGTAAAAAGTGGGGTGCACAGGGTGGTAAGAGTAATGTCTTTTTTGCCAAGACTCTGGATGACCGATTTATTATTAAGCAAGTCACAAAGACAGAGCTCGAATCTTTCCTAATATTTGGACCTGCGTACTTCAAATACTTGTCTGATTCCCTCCGTACTGGAAGTCCTACCTGTCTAGCGAAAATCTTGGGCATCTATCAGGTATTGGCAAAATAACAATCCCACCACAGCAACCCAATGTTTAAGCATCTTCTGTTGTTTACTATGCTTTCTATTTCTTTGTGAATCTCTGTCTTAACGGTTATTTTTCGCTTTTAGAATGGCTTTTTCTGTCTCCTTCGGAAGCTTATGCTCTAGAATATCATGTGGAGCAGTTGGTGTTACTTTCGTTTGCTGTAATTATTAGCTATGAGATTATCCTGTTCTACCACTAAATTACCCTTTTACTTTATTTCTTAGGATCATCTTTTCTTTAGAGCCTCTTCATCTGTTGCTTTTCTTACTTTCATTTTTGTAGGTCACATCAAAACATCTTAAGGGAGGAAAGGAATCGAAGATGGATGTTTTGGTTATGGAAAACCTTCTTTTCAAGCGAAATATCACAAGACTGTATGACCTGAAAGGCTCTGCTCGATCACGGTATAATTCAGATTCAAGCGGAAACAACAAGGTTCTTCTAGATCAAAACTTGTTAGAAGCTATGCCAACTTCTCCAATTTTTGTTGGAACCAAAGCAAAGAGATTACTAGAGAGAGCTGTGTGGAACGATACTGCATTTCTTGCTGTAAGTTGTTTACTAGCAAATACTTGTTTGGGATGTCTCTAATAGATTTTAGCTTACTGCCATGACTTCTGCTTCTTGAATGATTGCTATTGTTGCTTAGCTCAGCTGGAGCTGAAAACCAAAAAAGTGATAAATTTATTTAAGATGCACAAGTCATGTCTCTCTGTTGTTACATCATACAATTCGGAAGTTTGAAAAGCACAATGGCAACTTGTTATTCAGCCGAATTTTTACATAGTGGGATAATGGCTTAGCTCTTGTGGTTGTGGTCTATGTTTCTGGTAGTTTGCCTGTCCTATAACAACAAATTTCTCATTTTTTCAATTTGTTTTTGCTGCTTTGGTGTTTGATTGTACAGTCTATAGATGTGATGGACTATTCCTTACTAGTTGGGATGGATGAAGAGAAGCACGAGTTGGTACTTGGCATCATTGACTTCATGAGGCAGTATACATGGGATAAACATCTGGAGACCTGGGTGAAGGCATCAGGCATTCTTGGGGGCCCTAAGAATGCGACTCCCACTGTGATCTCTCCTATCCAATACAAGAGAAGATTCAGGAAAGCAATGTCTGGTTATTTTCTTATGGTGCCAGATCAATGGTCTTCTTCCTCAACAAATATTTCCAGTGAACTCCCATCAGAACCTTGTGAAGAGAACCATCAAACATAACTTGGAATGTTTTCATTAGCTTAGATGTAAGTAAAAGAAGAGTTGGATTTTACATCTTCCCTCACAAAACCTGCACTTTCCTTCCTAGACGTAGATGGTTAGTTGATGCTCTGAGGAAGCTGGTAAATTCTTTATTTTTTGACAGGACGGAAGGAACTTTTTTTTCTCAGCAGGGGAATTATATTCACAGAAGGAAAATCAATGTGTAAAAAACATGTGAAAAATTATTTTAGCTCAACTGCATATTTTGTTGTTCCTTCTCCTGATGAGATTCTTCCTTCCTTCTTATGTTGTCCGTGTAATTGTCATGAAGCACTGTTATTTTTGTCTTGATCCCTCGTATACCGTGCTAATGATTTCTGGAAAGCCTTTTTCCTTTCCCAAATGAACTATTGTATTTCAAAATACTCACGGTTGCCAAGAGTCTGCGCAAACGAAGTTTTACAGTTCCTTCAGTTTGTTAAGAAAATGAAGTTCAGCTCAAAAGTAATACACAGTATTGTTGTTGTTGTTTTTATTTTTTATATTTTTTTCCCCTCAGATATCAAGCAAGGAAATCTAGGGCAGCCCCCAAAGTAGGGTTTTATCTCAGATATCTAAGCAAATGAAATTCATGGAAATTAAGCTCTTTTTTACAGCCGGCAAATATCACCTTATAAACTATTATTTCTGAGTAACTTCTTTAACCAACGTATCTCTATTACACTGTTATGTACGACAAGAATCCTTTTGAAGTATCCCACTGAGTGAGGTTATATATAAATTTTGGGTACAGATGTAACTAGACGGGACAGCTATTATCAGACAAATGAAAGTATGAAACTCTAGCAAAAATAGAAAAAAGAAAAAGTCCTTTACTACTAAATAAGTGGTCAAAATTTTGGAAGAACAGAAGACAAAGCGGCAGCATGCTACAAAAGTTTGTCAAGTTGAGTTTGCAGGTCCTGAATGGAAAACTTTTCCATAATGCTCTCTATGTCTTCCTTGGAGTATTCAGATTTGAGAAGTGACTGAACTTGAACGTGTGCTTCAACAATATTTGTCCTGCATCAAATCAGATAGCAAATCTCTTAAAACTATAAATTCTGACAATGGTTGAATGAGAAACACAAGCTAAGCCACATACATATATCACAAGTTATAAACATGAAGCTGCAATCTTACTTAATAGGTCTAAAGAGAATTGCACGAGTTGACGGGTTCTGTAGATACAGCTTCATCTTTAACATTACTTTCGGTAACTCATTCTGTACTGCAGTATTAACCTGTCCATGATTGGCATTACACCATATCAGTTGATGGATGAAGAGTCCATTAAAGACTAATAGAAAACTTGTAACAAGGATATTTTATATCACAAGTCTTATAAGGCTGCTTCATTTGGCACAGTTTTACCGGAACATAGGCAGCTGTAATCCACCAGACATTTGGCTAAATAAATAGTAACCATTACGAACCTTGTCAATTAATTCGGCAACCTTCTCTGGAGTGGCGAAAGCCTGATCCTTGAGTGGCTTTGCAATGGAAGACTCTTTCTTTTGATCTTGCACTCCAGATGACAATGCAACTTTAACAGCAGTCACCTGAAATGACAATTTCAACATTTAACGTCAGCAACTTATTCTTTCTCTTATATTTCCAGTATGATTGTCTCTATCCACAGAGGTGGTGTGACGTGCTGTCTTTTTTGTTTTTTTTATAATGCCTGGAACATCACTATAATTGGTACTCCTTTCTAAATGCAGCAGTGATTGATAATGTATAAACTTCCAGATGATACACACATCCAAAATAGTATTACCTTGTCATGCCCTAATTCCTTCTAGATGCAAAATTAGAATTTCGATTTATGACAATGCTTTACTTTATAATAGATAGCAATTAATTAGAAATACGTAAACCTTTGTAACAAATGAAAGCATGGGATCCACAACAAGTTTGGTCACTGACATAATGAACTCCTCACATGTGACTTTGAGGCTTTTCTCCAGTTCCTGCATATCAATAATCACGAAGTTTACTTTTACTGCAGTAAGACAGAACATATGTATGATAATCAGTATAAAAGATGTACCAGAAGAGATTAGAAGAAAATATCCGATCAAACAAAAGTATGTGTTCAAACTTGAAGCATATTCACATTATTTTCATAGGCAGAGCGCCCTTTAGTTGAAATTCAAGAACTAACTTGAGCAACAAGTCAATTAATTAAACTCTACATCTACTGGTCTACGTACGCTCTTGACCCTCCAAGTTTTCAATCATTTTAATGCGGCCAATCAGGAGTTTAAAAGGATCTGGACTTCACAGATCAAACTAAGGAGTTCTGTAAGGGGTTTAAAGGATTTGGACTTCACAGATAGGAATTCACAAATTATCCTCTCCATTCAGTTACTTCACACGATTCAAAATTTTAATTATCCATACACGATGAAATATCTTTGACAAAAGTTCTCCTCTAATGGAGAGACTAAAACAATAAAGTAATTGCAATTCAGTTGAAGTAATGGAATGTAAACAGCAATGGTAATTCAATTACCTTCTTTGCATCAATTTGACTTTCCAAAATCCTTGGAGATAGTGTCCTGGCCAATGAAGTAGATCTTGACCAATCAAAAAGATTAGTCTGTCCCCTGAGAATTCTTCGCACTTGCTCCTGGGATTAACACAGGGATGCACACATGGATCACTCAATGGTTCAGATTGAGAATCATATTATTATCCCAGTACACTGCCTATCAAACTAAAATTATTCAAAGTGATTCTTGTGCTTCGAAGCTCATTCACAGGCTAGAATCACGTGTCTTAATATTTGGCATTAGATTAATTAAAGAGAAAGGATATTCTTTCCACAACTTGGCTGTATTTAGAAGTTGATTTTCATGAATTTTACAATAGAGAATGACTGCACATTTTCTCTTATATCTAGACCAGAAAATCATAAGTGATATATGAAGCATTCAAAATATAAGTTTACAAATCCTGCAACTCGTTGTCTACTACAAATGCAACCTACCAACAGAGTTGCCTTTCATACAGAGCATCACAAGTCCTACTTACAGCTCAGGTAATGACAACACATCTCAATCTGATTAAGGGTGTCTACATGGTATTCAAGTGAAAAGAAGTATAAACAGCATATTTCCAATTTTATTCCTACCCCATTTCCTCAAATTTAATATCACAAAGAAGTGTACCAGTCCGGCGATTGAAACAAAAGTTAGAACAAACGAAAGATCCAGATAAATGTCAATTCGGTCTCAGTACATATTTATGCTCTACAGTAGAATACAGAAATTGGCTGAATGCATAAAATAGAAGGGTGATCAGACCATTTATTTAGAGAAGGGAAAGGAAGGGTAAAATTTCAAGTTGAGAATTACTAACCAGCATATGAGAGAAGTCGAGTTCTTTATATGTTGCTGAAAATTCTATATCGAATGGTGCAATCTGCAAATTAAGTACCAGAATCAGGAAATCAATTTCCAAATGGGTATTATTTAAAGAGGCTAAAGAAAATTAACAACCTGCTCTCTTAGGATAAGAAGATGCTTTATCAGGAAAAGCTGTCCATCCATTGTAGATGACCTTTTTGATACAAGTTTACTAGCTTTCTGCAGCGGAAAATGGACTCAGCGTCAGGTTATGGCAATCCAAAGTATCTATTTTTTCGTTCTTTATTGTCATATATGCACACATGGGCAGAAAGAGAAAGGTGTCCTACGAGGGAGTTCAAATACAACTTACTTGAATAGATATGGAACAAAACTCCACAGCCTCCTGCATAAGTTTGCAAAGGAGAAGTTAAGTTTTCGGGCAAAACATCAGCAAGGATCAGAAAAGAGATCCAGGAAGCAAAGTGATTATTCACCTGAGCCAGACCGGTGAAGACTGTTGGTTCCAAAGACTGATACAATTTCGATAGACATGATATTGTTTTCTCCAAGGGAGGGTACCAAGTGTGAGAAACATCTGACTTTTGATCATTCTGCAGTGAAGTATCATGACGAGAAATGAGATTACATATATCCCAAACTTGGCAATAAAATTAAATAATATGCAAAAATTTCATCAGCGAGCCAAAAATTCCATAAATGGAACCTCTATCTGATAACAAATAAAACAGGCCAAAAAGATAAAGTATATCCACATTTCTTGAGAAGTCAAAATGCAAGTTCAATGACGTAGATTAGTTCAATAGTGTTTATTCATCAGGAATGATTACAATTAGGCACAAAATTACCAGCATTATATCTGAAGACCAAAGCAAGAACTTACAGATGTAGATTCTGTTTTCTGTTCAGCAGACTGCTCAAGCTTTGAGGGGTAGTCTAAATCTTCATCTAAAGGAAGATAATTTGCAATCTGAAAAAAAAAAACATTGAAAAGATTATATCAATTGATATCTACAGAGGCATAATAAGTTGAAAAGATTATATCAATTGATATCTACAGAGGCATAATAAGTTGACAAATCAATAACAGGCTCCCAAGATACCTCATCCCGAATATGTGTTCGAGCACGAAATGTTAACCGCTCATGAACATCAGCTAAGATTCTATCTATAGTTGGCCGTAGCCCAGCTAATGATTCACCTCGTCGGCTTAACTGCTCTCCTAGAACCTCAACTTTTAGAATATCAACAAGTTCACACAGAACATCAAGATTCGTTTCATGAATCAGTTTTGGCCGTAAGGTATCATACAGAAAAGTACACCTGCAAAGTGCAACAGTCAATTGGCCATAAAAAAATGGGGAAACACTATAATCATCATAGAAATGATAACAATTTTCAGGAAAACTGAAAAAGTCCAACTGAAAGAACAAAATGACTCACAGAGGGTCTGTCAGAGGAGCCAAGCTTGAAATATCCTCTGACGATGAAGGGAAAAAGTAACTAAAAAGCTGATGTTCGAGCAAACACACCTGCGATTAAAATGTTTAAGAGAGAAGACATACATCACTTTTTTTCTGACTGAAACGGCACTGACAGTTTAAGACATCAAAAGCAATCATAAAAATGATTCCATGATTCTCTAACAAGGGATCAGCAGACAACTCGCAACTCTATAAGATGCACCATAGAAACTCCTTTCCAATTTTCAAATAATACATGGATCATAAAAGTCACCATTGTTGCTCTTTCAATGCATGCTTTAAAATTGAATGTCTTTTCTTATAGTTTCTACAATTCTTCGCCTGGCCCTTTCCCTGCCCCTTTTCTGTTTGATTTAATGGCTCCACATGCCTTACTAGAGCATCTCAATCTCTATGCACGTGGGCTAACAAGAAGATCTTTTATACCCATATATCTTTCAAAAGCACCACCTACAAAACATATAAGTATTCATATACAACATATGAGTAACCTCAAGGATACCTGCATAAGGTATGCACATCCTGATCTCGTTAGGGATGGCAATTCTTCTTTCTTAGAAAATTCTGATATCCGCTGCTGAACTATGCCTTTGACCTAAATAGTTAAAGTGAAAAATAAATCAAGGCTTAACCATCCACCGGAAAATTTTAGGGAGAAACAAAAATACTTGCAAGAATGGAGGGAAAAAAAAGGGAAATACATCATAAGACTAAATTTTTTGCTCACCAAGGAGAGACGCTGTTCACAATATAATTTGTGGCATTCAGCAAGAATCTGGACATATTCTTTCCTGGGTCTTCTGATTTCAATTTCCTCCAATATCGGTTTAAGCTGAATTAGCAGGGCATAAAATGTTATTAGAATGGTCAATATATCCTGCTGGAAGAACAAGTGCCTTCATAAAGCAGAAAGATAAAAATTCAAAAGGAAGCATAAGAAAAGGAATAATGCCTCGTTAGCTGCTGCCTTGAAGCGAACATAAATAACAGATGCTTCAACAGCCTCAGAGATAGCAGCTTTGCCACCAGCACTGCTCCTGATAGCAGCTTGAACCTGATTGAGCCAACATAATTAGAACCAAATCACCATAATATAGATCAAAACCAAACAAAATAAAATAGGACCTTTGACAACTACCTGAGAAGACGCACTTTTAAGAACAGAAAGAACATGAGCACGAATCATCGACAGAGCACGGGACTGTCAAATTTGAAAAGGGAATTGCTTTCATCAGAAGAACTTAATGGAAGGGGCCAAGATAACTCTCTTGCAGAGGAATAATATGCTATCAAAATAATAAGCAAACAGTTGCAATGTACCTGCAGTTGGCGAAATTTGACCAAGTACACATTGCATTCTGCATACTGTGGATTACTTTCCACATACCTAAACATGTACAGAAACATCAGTGCTAATTGAACATAAGAAAGCTGCTTACTACAGCAACAGATGACAGGAAGGTTTATGAAATAATAGCTCCTACAAAACCCTTTTTTACAGTCTATAGCAAAAAGACCTCTTTAAATATCTCCTGGGAAATTCTGATATGGAACTTCAGTGGTATAGTGTACCGGAAGAAATCTTTAAAGTAGCAGAATTAAGAATTACTTACGATATGCATTCGTCAAGTCTCTTGAGCAAAGGAAGAAAGTTCTCATTTCCAACATTCATGCTGGGAGAATAAAAACTGGTCGCAACCTGCCAAAATAGTGATGAATAAAATGGCATTAACTATAACACATTCAGTCAATCAAGCTTTTGTAGGCATTTAAGATTTATTCTCTTCTTTATTTCTTATTCTTTCAATCTTTCTTTTTCTTTTCTCTAGTCCTTAGTTTTGTCCCTAGGAGTTTGGTAAGCACACGAGCAAAAGGAAGAGCACAATGCTTCCGCTCTCCGATGTAAAAACCTACTCTCTCTACTTCTCAATAAAGAGAAGGAAGTTGGGCAGGAGGGACAGAAAAAAAGGAACTCTGTGACTAAACAATTAGGAGGCAAAATTGCTTTAAATATGTTCACAATTTGTAACATGCATATATTTCGGAGATAACATTGTCTACGATTATTTTAAAAATATATCCATAGTTCAGATTGATTATTTTGCAAAACCTACAAATCTACCACACATCTAAATATGATGTTCTTCGAGGGAACGAATTCTGAAATTGGACTTTCAAACAAGTTAAGATGAAAATAGGAACTACAGGGAGCACCACTCTTTCCGGGCCTGAATTTCACTTATCATTAACGTTCACAGTAAACTTCCTAAAACCATACATTGCAATAAAAGAAGATACACGCAAGAGAAGTGACCCCGTTAATGATATCAAGCAGATAAGTCCATATGCAAAAAGATTCATACAATACAGCAAAGATTACAAACCACCTAACTAGCACTAAATATCAGGATGCAAGCATCAGCAAAACATGAAATAAAAGAGAAAGAAAAGCTTACATTCTCCAGTTCGTCAAAATAGTTCAGCTTACTATGCAGTGATTCTGCAAACTCAATCAATCTCCGCTTCTCCATAAGCTGCCACAACCAGACAAAATTGAATAACTTAAGGTGCTGGAAATAAAAATATCATCTTGGTTTAACTAGCAAGGTAAGTTTCTTAATTAGGAGTTCACACAACCGAGTATAAAAGAAATACAAAACAACAATAAAAGGCAAGAGAAATAAAATAAAGCTGGAAATAAAATTGAAAATACATAGTGCTAAATCAAATTGCGTTAGATACAATACCTGGAAAAAAGAAGACAACAAGTACAAATGCATAAAATATCAAACCTCTTTTTTACAAATTCATTTGAACAAGTGATTTACTGTATAGAATAATTTGATACATAATTCAGTGAGGAGGGATGATCCTACCAATCTGTCACATGCATCATGAAGAGTTTTAGTCTTTATCGCCACAGCTTGATGCTGCGATTGTAGGTCATTGAATAGTTCGAGAGTTTCATCCACCTGGCATCAAACAAAAAGTTCCATCATTCATTTGCAACAGCAAGGGAAACTAGAAAAGTGAATACATTTTTTCAATTACAGGATAATTAGTTTACCTGATTGAGTATGCCATCACATGTCTGTATCTGCTCTGTTAATGAGCTCACATAGTGTTGATATTTTTCTTCTGTCTAAACCAGAAATAATCAGGTAAAGTATCCATCAGTTCACAAATGAAAGAAAACATGTTGTAGGAAGAAAGTACAAACCTCAGATTTCATGGCTGCTTCAAGACCCGTAAACCATTTATAGAACTGCACCATTGTAAAGAAGGACAAGTAGTCATTTGAATGGTAAAATCTAAATAAAATAAGGTGTTTCAAGATACAATCGATGATAAGAACATTCTACATTATCAGAGCAGATCTTGCTATTCTAAACTTCTATCAGTAAATTGATTATCATAGTCCAGCACTTACAGCAAAATAAATGTGAGAAAAGGAATCTAATTGATTTGAAACTTTGATTAGAAACAACTAAGTTCACAACACCGTGTAATGATGTTGGCAGAGAAGCCAAAACAAAACCCTCAGTGTCTGGAATAGGTATTCCAAAGTTAATCAACTCAAATAACTATAAATTTATCACTCACTTAACAGTGCAAACAACTACATTATCATGCACGAATTTCTATGCAAAAGGCCACTATTCTAATGCAATCAGATAAACAATGTATAATCAGTTTTCACCACAATGCAGCAAAAATTGCAATACATCCCCATATAAATCAATCAAATCAATCCACAGGATCGCCAAAATAATTGCTACCTGATTAGTATTCACAAGTACAGTCTCAATGGCACTAGAATCTTCAACATTATCATCCTTCATCGAAATGGGAAGACCATTATCTCCTCCTGCTACATGCTCTTGGGACTTCTAAGCAAAGAATACAGTCCAATTACTTATAAGAAAGAAGAATGTGCCTAAAGAAACATTATATACTAAAAAGTCAGTGAACTAACTAAATTAGGCGGAAATGGCCGCTCAGCAACTGCATGAGAAAGAGCAACTATTGCTGCCTGTTGTTGTTCTGTCAATGGAGCATTCTGCAAACAGAAAGGAGGCAGAGAATTTTTATTCTGAAAAAACAGAAAATTTGCAATTGTGGATCATATTTTGCGTGCAGAAAGAAATACGAATCATTTCAAACTGACAAGACATCTGAGATACGAGTAAAAAGGTTATGATATTCAAGATGTGGATACATTTCTCTAGATCAAATAATTTTATGAAAACGAGATAACTTGGAGTTTGATCAGATCACAAACATGGAAGAGTTGAAAACTTAGTAATTCAGCAAAATTCTCCAGTTTAGCCGACATAGATACGCGGATAAAGGTCTACCAATCTACATTGATCGGAACACAGTTGCTTTCATAATACCACCGCCAAACGAACTGACGCGAATCGCATTCTGACTGAAGTTGAAAATCAATCAATGTGAGATGCATTACGGATCCTAACTTCTTCTTCTTTTTTTCCCTCCACTAAACAACTCCAAATCGTGGATCTCAAATAACAACAAAATCAGAAGGCAAAATAATTCAGCTCAAAAACCAGGATTGAATGGGACTTACTTGTTCCCAATTAGAAGCAAAGTTGTAGCCTTTGGAAACGGCGCCGGATTTCGGAACAGGAACGCTTGCTTTTGGCTGCGGCGGCACATTCATTGCCGCCATTTAACCTCTCTCGTCGGGGGATGGTAATTTGGGTAATCTTGTCTTCTTAAAATTAATTCAACGTCAATAGAGGCAATAAAATGCACATTCTGGCTACACAAGTGCAACTAAGGAAAGATGTGGACGGAAACTAAATGTAGGCGGAGTACCGCCGTGACCACCACCTCCTCCGTGAGTCTGAGTCGTGGAGTTTACTCTTCCAAGGTGATGTCGATTTGGCAATTTTGTTTCAGATTTAGTCCAAATTACTGTGGTACTCCCCTCTGTGCTTTAGCGGTTGGACCTTTTTCTTCAATCCGGGTCGGATATTAATTTTACGAAAACAATTTGCAGTTTTAGTCACTTATTTTTTAGATTAATATTAATTGTGGCCCCTAAGGTTTCTTTTCCCCATCATTTTCAAAAAACCTCATTCTCTAGCCATAAATCTATTGCACGTGATCATGCTCCTTTCTACTCGGCAACATAGGAAGAAAAGAATAGAATTGTTGAAATTTCATTCACTGCTGAAATTCTTCAAATGATACAAAATGTGATCTTCAAAGTACCAGAGCTACAAAATCTATACCTATATTTTACAAACTAGTACAGTAACTTGCTCAACAAGATGTTGATATGGGGAAAATGATCCCCTCAAAAGCGATTATCAACAATCCAGATCAGTCCTTGACATCAGTTACACCTTCTGGAGAAATTTGAAACCTTGCTTCAGCCTCGGCCAAACAAGGAGAACTTATCACTTTACAAATGCGTTCCTCTGCTCGTCCCTTCCGAAGAGCTAGCCTGTCATATAGGATAAGAAACCTTAATCACTTCTTCTATACAGGCGAGTCTTATCAGGTGAACATGACTTATAAGCATTTTATATTTACCGACCTTGTTGTCGATGCATGCGCCATGATGTTACCACCAATTGGTTTTATTTGAGGTCCAGCAAAAATTGCAGAACCATCCACTTGTGCAACAACTTGGTTGGTGATAACAACAGCTACACCAAACTGCAGACATTGTTGAAGTGAAAACCATGAATTCAGAACGTAGCATTGTAGGTGGAAGGAATGCTCTAAGCTCCAAATTACAAATTATGGGTCCCTGAATAGAAGAAATAACTTGGAAAAATAAGGAAGGCCTACCTCATCTGCCAATTTCTGAAGGCTCCTCAGGAACTTTGCTAGATGCATTTGTCTAGCCGACAATTCACCCCTACCAGAGAAATCTGTCCTATAAAGTGCAGTGGCACTATCCACTATCATAAGAGCAAATCTGTAACATTTACATGAGGACCGGACATTAATTTGGATCCATAATTTTGGATGATAGAACAAAAGGTGACTGCTAAATTTCACATCACATGAAAAAGCAAATGCTAAAAGGATACCTGGTTTCCACCATCATTGAAGCTGCTTCAAGCAAAAGCCTTGATTGATGATCAGTATTATATGCCCGAGCATAGGCGACATTCTCCAGAACATCTGCTCCATTCAATCCAAACCTGCAAAAATAAACATAATAATGATCAATAGAGCTGAAAGGCCTAGCGGAAAATGTTGAAATCAAATTTCATTAGCTGAAAGTTATCCAACAAACCTGTCAGCTATCTGCAAAAGTCTTTGTGGCCTGAATGTTCCCTCAGCATCAATGTACATTGCTTTCCCTTCACCACCCCCTTGGTCTAGAGGAAGCTGCGTGCACACAAATATGCTCAAGTCATTAAACAGACCAATGTATGACTTCCAAGGCTGATCAGCAAAATATTTCAACCCAACACCAGTTTTTACAGACTGGACAATGTATTAGTGAAAAGAATCCTAGATATTAGTTTTCGGCATTTTGCATTTGTACTATTCTGAACAACGAGTAACCCAAATAAAACTAGATTACAAAACCATTGTTGAAATCAAACACACGGTGATTCACACCGTTTATGAACACTTTAATTATGCCTCAGCTGACCAATAGTTATAAAACTGATTTTACTAGATAATTCAGGTGCTCAGAAAAATAAAATCAGCTTACTTGACAAGTAACGCAAAGTGTATGACATAGTTGAGTCTTTCCTGAACGAAACTCCCCATATATCTCCGTGATAGATCCAGTTTCAATACCTCCTGTGAAATACAAGTCATTAGAGTTTGTGGCTTTTCAGAGGCAGTACCGAAGTCAATTCGAAATACCTTCCAGGATCTTGTCAAGTTCTCTTGACCCAGTAGCTATCTGTATGATTTCCAGCCTCTGCGCATGAAGTTGGCTAGCACTTGTGAAACCTAAAGGTACCAACTTTGATGCTGTATACAAACAATTGAAAATCTGTTCATGTTGCAAGAATATCTAGTACATATCCAGCAGTCATACAGTTGAAAGCATAAAAAAGGAATTCAGTCAGCATTAAGTCAGAAAATGACTTGCCTGCTTCAATGATCTTATCAACTTTAGCTTCACTAATCCCCTTTATTTGCAAAAGCTCCTTCCTTGGAGAGTATGCAACAGATTCAACAGTGCAAAGGCCAGCATCTTTTAGCTTTTTGATATCAAGAGCCGCAATACCAGATGCCTATGTGAAGGGCCAAAACAAGAAAACAAAGGGAATAACTCAGTGAGCAAAAGACTGCATGACATCTTCTTTCTGCATGCTATATTACAAACCAAAAGCTTAAGTTTCAAGCTATCAGAATAAGGATTTTCTCACAATCAACATCAAAGAGCATAACATGAACAATATTATGGAGCCGCAAAAAGGGCATAACTGAGAAATTCAGTCAAAATTGCTTAACTCTGCCGCAGAAAATGCCCCCATTCATGACAAACTAGCATGGGAACCTCTAGAATTTAGCTAGGAATCAGCAATGAAAAGCCAGTTACTTCAACAATATGGATCTCCGATCTTACAGCAAAAGTCAATGAATCTAAAACTACGTCCTTTACCAAAAAGAATTGATAGAACAAGAAATCCTAAAAAGAGCGTAACGTCCTAAATAAGCTCGTCCAACAATTGCGATACAAAACCGAAATGTAGGGTTTTGAAATTCATTAGGGTTGCTGCGCCCAAGACCACCGAAGTAAAGAAATTTGAGTCAGAACTAACTAATTGAGTCTTACAACCAAAACCCACTAGAAATGATACATACGGAAACACAATTAACTACAAGAAGACGAAAAAAAATCAAAACCCAATTAGAATATGCATAACAGCAAAGCAATTTAGTCTAAACCACGCAATTGCAACCGTTCCTAAATAACCAAAAACGATAAACCAAATCGATCGATAACCCATTTGAACACACATAAAAAACAGTCCAAAAACTTGAATCTTTAATGAAAGAAACGATAATTAGGTTCTGGGTTTTTCATTTTCAATCTCAATTTTCCTTTTGGCCAAATGGGGGCAAGGCGGTTATGAGGCAAACCTGAAGTTGTTCAACAGGGAAAGGACCGTGCTGAATGTCATCGAGTTCTTCCTGCTGTTGTTGTTCTTGCACCATTTTCTGCTTTCTTTGCTGCTCCATCGCCATTGTCGTGCTAGAACGCAGAGAGAGAGAGAGAGAGAACCTGTAAAAAAAAGGAGAGAAGTGCGGGCGGGAGTCCGACTCAGACACTGATGGAAGGGGAAAAATTTCGAAGTACTCTGAGAAGCGCCAAAATAAAAGCTTGCTCTGAACGCTAATAATAGAAGCTTCTCTATATAAGAACCTTGTTATTTTGGCCCATAAACTAGGCCCAAATAAATAGCTCCCCATGGGCTTCTTCTTTTCCTTTTGCTTTTTGTTTTTATGGTCAACGGTGCTCCGGTGGCGTTGTATATTGTCGCCGTTTTAACTTTCTAATAGCAATTCAACTGTGAACATTACATTCTTCTCCAGCAAAAAAGCTACATCGATGGTCAACATTCAAATCCTTCGGTTTTAACTGCTTCAATCGATGAGATTGCTTTGGTAGTATCCGTCGGATGGTGAATCTTTTCACCCGAAAAACAAAAAAAATGCAGACGAACTATTTGATTTAATTCAATGCCAAAATGGTGGGTTTTTTTTTTTTTTTTTTCTATTTTTGTTGTTGAAAATGGTACCTGATATTAATCTGGAAGTACCTAAATGGTTTTTGAAAATGCCAAAATGATTGGCAGAATACCCTTAACCGGGACCAAAGATGAAAGAAAATTTGCGTTCACGATGATTGAACAGTTGTTACATTTGATCAAGCTACTTGTTCAATTGGGTAGGCAAAAAAGGATCTTTAAGAAAAGGGAATGTACAATACAAGCTCTCTTGAACATTACGTTTAATCCTTCCTCCGAAGAGTAATCAAATTACATCAAAACATTTAGTATAAGCAAACGAAAGAAAAATGATACTACAATTTTGATTAAAAAAAAGTATACACACATGAATAGAGAGTAATAATGTGGATCAGTATGATTCCTGGCTGCAACTAATACAGCAGCACTGGAATGCATATACATTGGGTGTTTCCTTCCAAGTGAAACAGCAGCATTCAACATCAATTTCCTCTGGAGCATTCTGAGCTTGTGCATTTCGTTCCCGTACCTCTTCACTGGTACAGAAGCAGTGAAAAGAGCACCTCGGTACAGCATACACCACAAGATTTATGGCACATAAGCCAGCCAGGAACCAGTAATAGTTGTCAAGCCGACTGCGGTTTATAGCGTCCTGAAACCAACTCAGTTTTCCTCCTCTTCCTGTTACCTTTCCCAATACATACACCAACACGATGCTGCCTATATATCCTAAATTCACCGTTCTTGAACCACCGCCTGAATTTGCTGCGTACACGCCTGATGCGCCACCGAGTAGGATAAACTGAGGCAATAACCAGAATACTGACATTGGGACTGTCATATCAGGCTGGTCTAACAAACCATGGCTTTTAACCACATCAAGTCTACGGGATTCCACTTTGGCAGCTGTCACACAAGCTAAGATCCCCAACACCATGGAGAGTATCATTCCCACTGTTGGAGAAATGGATTTTACACCCATCTTACGAAGTAAATGATATATTACTGTATCTGCGTTGCCGAAATAATCACTTCCTTGGTGAAGGAACCACCAAAAGATTGTAAGTGGCACGGTTAGTTTGCCGAGCTTGTGGTTCATGGTTTTTGCCTGCTCAACGAAGAATGTGAACCCGAGCGAGCCGATTATGCCAATGAAGATGAAGGACATGGACTTGGGATGAATCATTCTTATAATAATCCGTTTTGTGGCCTCAACTTCTGTGACTGTGCAAAGCTTCCATATATTCTTCCGTTGTTCTTCCGCGGGCTGATCAGGTAGTATTATTGCAGCTTTGTCCAGGCACCTGAACGTACCATTCCGAGAGATATGGTTATGAATTGAACAAAAGGACATCTTACTTATCAATTCCTCCACATAGTACTCTTTCTAGCGGATATAAATTCAGTACTTATGGATAAATCATCATGGACTTTCCAGAGACAATAAAGAGGGTTGTTTCTTGAGAGTCATTAGGCTACCTTTCATGAAGAGCTAAACTGAAATATAGACATTACAAAATGCAACATATAACAGATGTATAATAATAATAAGCAAGAGAGCAGAAGACCTGAGGCAGCGAGTGCGAGGGATTTGCAAGTCAGACATTCCATGGAGCTCATGAGGATCTGCAGGAAGACGGCGAAATAATTTGGATGCCGAGGCCACAAACACCCGAAAAACCTTGGTCAGGTAACTACCCTGAGGCGGAATGTAGGTGTATTTAGAAGCGCCGCTGACGAATATCAGTGTCGCCACCACGATAAAAATCGCCGGTAACCCGAAATGAAGTGACCATGGCCTAATATACGGAAGCCCAAGAACCGCAAAACAGCTGACTGCTGCTGTAACCCAAATGCTGCCGACAGATGCCAAGATTGATCTTGCTGTTATATTCTCAATATTTTGAATTGCGCCCAGCATTTGCTCTGTCAAGAAACTCCCTAAAGAAACAACATGCCCGGCACACCCAACCGCTATAAATGCTAATGCGGCGTAAAACAGAACACGCTGAGTGTCACCAATGCATTCAGGCTCGTAGGATCCACAGGTTCCAGTAACCTTAGAAAGAACAGGTGGTGTTGACATTGACAAAAAGCCCATTCCCTGAGTACAAAATTGGCAGTATTAATTTGTTTGAACGAATTATCAACAGGAAAAAACAAAAAAACATTGAGCGAAGAGAAGAACAGGATTTTGGATTTTTTTTTTTTTGTTTTTCGGTACCGTGCAGAAGGAAAGAGAAGAAAAGAGGAGCATCCAGAAGTTGCCCATCAGAGTATCAGCAATGAATTTCAAGAGAAAGGGAAGGAAACCCATGACAGAATGATAGACATTGAGAATGGCAGCAGCATGAGTGAAGGTAATCTTCCAGACATTGGTTAAATAGATCATCAGCGTCCACAGAGCATACTCTGTTAATATAACTGCCCATGACAGAACTGCAAACCAACCAACAGAAAAAAAAACATATGTAATTAATCAGCTCACCATTTGGACTCTCAATATACTACATTATAGAATGATCAGCTTCAAATTATATATCCAAAGCCAGAGCATCTGCATACCTATTGCTCTTGAAAACATTTTTGTTTCGGGTTTTGATCTTGTTGGGCTTTATCACGCAGGGAAACCAATAAATGCAGTTGTTGGAGAATGTCAATTAACAGAGGGGATATCTATATATATATATATATACATAGAGAAGAGGAGAAGCAAATGCAAAAATGAACTGCGTCATTTAATGATCGAAAGGCCAAATCTGGGACATGAATAGGTACATACAAGCAACGTAGTTGACATTTTTTGGGGGTTTTTTTTGTCGGATTTAATTGCTGCCGCGGCGAGATTTGGAAAATACAACGCCGAATTTTGTAAAGAAAGACCATTGACTTAGAGATGAACTCTTAAAATAAGTATACTCGTAATGATGAATACGCTATCCATTCTAGCAGTTAGTCAAGTCTCTCTTAAATAAAGAGTAAACTAGGACTAAAAAACGAATCTGTCCCTCGTCTTCCGGCTGGAAGCCGTTAGGAACTCTGTCCAACTCTGCTCAGATCACTTCAACGCGCTGTGATTTTTCGATTTTTAATGTGAATCAAAGCATTGACTTATTGATTAACGAGATGCCGTTGACTCAAAAATTCCCGAATGATAGCAAGCCGCAGAAACTGGAAAGATCGAAGGCTGGAAATTGGAATGAGGGAGATACAACAAAAACACAAAAAAAAAATACGGGAATTGCACTGATAATGTCAGATTATATACTCCCAGGACAAACCGAGGATCTTCCTTAGTGACGGTTACAATAGGGGGGAAAACCCAATATGAAGATCAATGCCAAAAACTATTAATTTAGTTGTTTCTCTCGTTTACAGCTTGGACTTTCATTAAAAAAAATCGAATTTTTTTCGTGCAGAGCAAGTACCATGTTCAAATAGGTACATCACATGGACAAGTAATAATCATAGGGAGGATGCTCATTCCGGTTAGTTGAGATCAGTTCGTGCTACATAGCGGCCGTTTAGAAATAAGCACACATCTGGTTTTGTTGAAAATTACTTCATCCGTTCCAAAATTATTGTCCTGTTTGAATTTTTTATTTTTACTTTAAATTGTATTAAAACCGAAATCTCAAACTAGACAATAATAATTTTGGGACGGAGAGGAGTAACTTGAAATAGTTTCAATTTCCAACCAGGAAAATCTGTATGAGACAGAGTTGAATTGAATTGAGAGATAAGCTTAAGATATTTATTCATCACCAATCATTGAGTTCAATCGACTAACCATAACACATCAACAAGTCCGAAGTCATTCAGATAAAATGCAACAATTGACAATTACACGTAGTATATTATTTGTTCACTTACTTGTATCATGTACATCTTAGCTAAAGCAACAGCCACACTCAATTTCAATGTCCTTGGAATCACCCTCGCCTCCTGCATTTTCTTCCACTTCTGCGTCATTCGGGGTACTGCTACAAAAGCAGCAACTCCTCAATACCACAAACAACACCAGATTTATGGCACAAACGCAGGACAGAAACCAGTAATACTTGTCTAGCCTACTGTGGTTAATGGTGTCCTGGAACCAGTTCTGTTTTCCTCCTCCTCCTTCACTTACCTTCTCTAAACATATACTGCGACAATACCGCCAACGAATCCTAAACTTTCCCCGATTCTGCCAATTTGGAGCATGTATTTGAACATAGTTGGACTTATATAGTAACTGTAGTAACTCTGTAAGCTCATGTCATACATACCATTCAAGGCGCCGAGGAGTAGAAACTGAGGTAGTAACCAGAATACTGTCATAGGGATGGTCTCATCCGGCTTATCTAACAGACCATGGCTCTTCACCACATCAAGTCTACGCGATTCGACTTTCGCAGCTGTTATGCTACATAATATGCCTAGTAACATTGACATCATTATTCCCGCAATTGGAGCCCTTTCTTGTGCATTCTTCCGGCATACCAAGCTGAAGAAACAAGAGAATACTTTGGGGAAATATGAACTTGCTTGATCACAGAACCACCAAAAGATGGTCAGTGGTACGGTCAGTTTTCCGACCTTGCGGTTCATGTGTTTGCCCTGCTCAACGAAGAATGTGTACCCGAGTGAGCTCACTAAACCGAAAAACACAAAGGACATGGACATGGGAATCAAGCTTATTATGAATTTCGTAGCTTCCACTTCCGAAATTGTCCACAGCTTCCACGTCTTTTGTTGTTCTTCCACTGACTGATCCGGTAACACTATTGCAGCCTTGTCCAAGCACCTGCAATATTCCGATCAAAGAATTTGCTTTTTGTAATTCCAGAGAGTCTAGCTATCTTGAAATGTTCTTCTTTCATTTTCACCAAGACACTTTAAGCATGTACTTAAAAAAGACAAAAAAAAATGCAGACATAAGACATATAGAACAGCACAAACCTGAGACCAGTAGTACGAGGCTTTGCCAAATCAGACATCCCATGGAGCTCCTTATCATCCGCGGGAAGTCGACGAAATAATTTGGATGTTGCAGCCATCAAGACTTTAAACACGGTAGCCAAATGGCTACCTTGAGGTCCGACGTAAACATATGAACAAGAACGGGTCAAGAATATTAGTGTTGCCACCAGAATGATGATGGCCGGAATTCCAAAACGCAGCGACCAAGGTTTTATGTAGGCTAATCCCATAACTGCAAAACAGCCGATTGCAAAGGCAGCAAAACTACCAAAAAAATCAGCAAGGCATACTCTTGGAGTGAGATTTAGAATTACATTTGAAATTTGTTCCTCGAGGAAACTCGGTAAGGATACAGTATGTCCAGCGGTCCCAATAGCTAGCAGTGGAAGTGCAGTATACAAGAGGGCCTTCTGAGTGTCACCAATGCAGTCAGGCTCATAAGAGCCGCATGTTCCAGTAACCTTGTGAAGTACTGGTGGTGTTGACATTGTCAAAAAACCCATGCCCTGTTCCCAAAATCAAGTTCTCAGTAGATAAGTGATGAAGGGGGAAATTTCAGATTAAGTTCTGATTAGACAACTTGAAGGAAAATTTGAACATAAGAGCAAAGCTTGAAGCCACAAGTACATTAATCTTATAGCTGTCTGAATAGAACAATGACAATATTATTAATTAATACAAAAGCAACATCCAGCAAAAGAGATGGGAGTAGGGATGTTTTGGTTTAGGTACCGTGGAAAAAGAAAGAGAAGAAAGGAGGAGAACCCAGTAACTCCCAACCAAAGTATCAACAATGAATTGCAAGATTAAAGGGAGGACACCGGCAACAGCAAGATATATATTCAGAATGCCAGCTGCATGTACAAAGGTAACCTTCCAAACATCTGTTAAATATATCATCAGCATCCACAGTGCATAGACTGTCAACATATCTGCCCATATCAGAACTGCAGTCAAAACAGAACATCTGATGATCAGCTTAGTATTTGGACCCAGGAGAAATGGCAGAGATTGCAGAAGATCTGTCTTAGAAAAATGCAAGTTGGAGAATTACCCGTAATTTTTGTGAACATTTTTTTGTCTTGGGAATCGCTCTTCCTTGTTCAGGGAGGAAAATAACAGTTGAAACTGAAAGCACGCCAATTTGTGGGAACTTAGCAAACAATGATAATGATGCCCCTGTTGGAGATGTTAAAATATAAGCAAGATATATGTAGTAGAGAAGAAAAATGCAGCCTCTTAACCGTGTTCATGAATTTTGAAATGCCAAAATAATTGATTATTTAAGTACAAGCAGCTTGACATTTGTATCTTAGCATTAGCACTGAATCTTCTTAATCTGTAGCATTAGACAGTAATTGAAGACTCTTCACTTGGGGAACAAGGAGGAAGAGATAGTGATTAACTGGTGATGTGCTATATAAACATTTGTAACTCAAGTCTACTCTTCTCTGTTTATAAAATGATGATATAACAAGAATAGTTTGACGAACTAAATCAATAAAGTCAACCGTAAAAGATTCTGAGGAAGGAGAAACAGATCATCAATATCTGTCTCTCAGTCTCCTCATCATCATATTTAAAAAAGATACACTGCCCAACTCGGTGCAATTGAATTCACTAAGAAGATTTTGTATTTTGTATTTTTTTTTAATTAAAAGCAAGTAAAAAAAAAAGTGGTTTTCCAGATAACTACGAGTCCCAAATTGCAAAAGCAAAAGAGATCAAGCCCAAAAGAAACGAGGATAAAGAAACACTAGGCCCGGTAAGAAAACCAACCGAACTTGAGAGGTCTTTGTCAACGGGCCTGAGGGAAAAATAACTTCATTGATTTGGGGCGGAGTTAAGGCAAATTTATCAATAATCGTTAAACTATGTAATTAACTTAAAATTTTTCTTACCATTATTGATTTTATCCATATCTATCCAAAATCGCCAGAGAATCATCTTCATCCCTGTCTGGCTCCCCTGCTGTAGTTGTCTACTGTGTGGGAGTAAGAAGCATCAATGATGAGGCAAGGGCTTCTAGCACCCGCTTCCATCAACCCTTATCCTCCTGCTGCCAACCACCTCTTGATTTCCACTTCACAGACAAGTCTGAAAACCCATCACCCCATTTTCAGACCCGTTTTCTTCAGTGTCTTTGCAAGGTCTCAAGATGATTTCCCGGAACGAACCTCCACCTCCACCGCCACTCAAAGAAATAGCGTTGCTCACTGGTTTCCAGGCACTCATTTCAAGGTAATTTGTAAGTACACTGCTAATTTCCATTCTCTTTTTCTTCCGTTGTTTGTTGAATTATGCAAAATCTTCCTTTCTTCGAAACCAGGGCTGTTATTTAGGACCCTCATTTTAGAATATATGAGCCTTGGTTGAAATCTTTTCTTTTGGGAATCGAATTTCCTTTTGATGTGTGTTTGGGAAATTGAAGTGGGGTTTTAGTTAAACCCATTCCGATACATGTCTTGAGTCGAACCGTGCTTATCGATAACTTAAATAATTGGATTTAAAGCTTATTAAAACTATAAATTTCTAAAACCCAATGCTTAGAACTGAATTGGGCACTATTCAAGTGAGATACTCATATGATATTTGTAAAACCGAACCCTCAACTGGGACTCCTTTTTACCATGTCGGAAAACATGGAGACTGATGGAATAAGAAAGTAAGAGAATTAGATTTTACATCCTTAAATAAACACGAAGAATATGTTGTATTTATCTGCTCGATGTTCTTTTCTAGGATTATGCTTCGTTAGGTCTTTGTTTTGAACTGGCCTTTTTTCTGATCCGCTTTTCTTTTTATCTTTCTCAGGAAAAGATATTATCTACAAGATTGCCTGCACTAGCTCGAGTTGCCGCTGATGCATTGATGTTGGCTGCGCCATTAGATGCTCTAGCAGAAACTTGTGAAGCTGATAATTCTGTACTCAATATGAATATGCCTTTGCTTCTGTTCGTTGCCCTTATTGGTGCTACAGTCGGAGGTATGTTCATTGGAACTATAATGCTTTTAGTTTGTGAGTATCAAGTGCCAAGGCTTATTAATATAGTCATGTGGTCGATCTTGTTTTTAACTTATTCTTGTTTAAAGTTTTCCGGTTTTAATACTGTAGCATGCCTGTTGTAAGAATATCTGATTTGAGCACCAATGAATGTGTCAATAATGCCACGTGTTGCTGTGACTTATTGTTGTTACTAATGAATTAGGTACAGAAGTGAATGTGCTTATCGTGATCTTTGATTATTCTTCTCAATTTACTTTTTTGGAGAAAAACAAAATAACTTGTTTGGCAACACAGCTGCATAAGCCCTTGATATATAATATCGCCAATCATCTTATTATTTTGGGTACCATCGTCTTGGGTTTGAAAAGCTGCTCCCCAAAGGCATTTTTCTTAATGTTGGTTTGCTTTTCTTAAATGCTTTAATCTTTAATCTTTTGCAGGATTACTTGCACGGCAAAGGAGAGGAGAATTACAGCGCCTGAATGAACAGCTCCGACAAATCAATGCAGCTCTGAAAAGGCAAGCCAAGATTGAATCTTATGCACCCAACTTGAGTTATGCTCCTGTTGGTGGAAGGATACCTGAGACTGAAGTCATTGTCGATCCAAGGAAGCAGGAGCTAATCACCCGCCTGAAAAATGGGAAGAATCATCTGAGAAATCAAGAACCAGACAAGGCATTTTCCGAGTTTAAGACTGCTCTGGATCTTGCCCAAAATCTGAAAATTCCAATAGAGGAAAAGAAGGCTTGTAGAGGCTTAGGTATATCACTTTTACTGCTTGAAATTGATCTCTTATCCCGACCATGTGCAGCAAAGCAAAATATTATGTTTCGGTAACCAAATTGTTCAATTAATCATTTCTTGGTCTTTGGTGAAATCTTTAGGGGCTTCGTTGCAGAGGCAAGGTAAGTACCGAGAAGCGATTAAATACCATTCTATGGTTTTGGAAATTTCGAATAGAGAAGGAGAGACATCCGGGAATACGGAAGCTTACGGAGCAATAGCTGATTGCTATACCGAACTTGGCGATTTGGAACGAGCGGCTAATTACTATGACCAGTATATATCGAGGTTACAGACAGACTGAAAGTGAGAACCCCTTTCCTTTTTCCTTTTTGGTGACCTCGGATTTTCATTCCTCAGATCACCATTTTCCTCTAAGTGTGATCCTTTTTGCAACGCCATAACAATTCTTAGAAGTTAAGCGAGTTATGGTTGAGAGCAACTGTCAGCCAAATTGATTTATGTATTGCAAGCATGGAAGCTGTGTAGGACCAGAAATGAACTAGAATTGAAAGCACTTATCAAACAGTGATCTAGAGATGTAGAAGTGTGTTGTACATGCCTTCGCCTTTCATTTGCTTCTTTGATTCGTGAATTCAGGAGCACGCGTGCGTGTCCAGTGGACTAATTTGTTTTTCCAGGATTAGATCAATTCGTGGCCAGAGAAATTGAATTGAAATTTGCTGAATTTGTTGCTACACACGTAGCGAGTTTTTCTATTGATCATATGATGAAATGGTCCAAATCAAGGCAAACACAAGCTTGCAATTTTGACTCTTCATAGGTGTCTTGTTCAAACTATGGCGTCAACTGTCAATATCTGAGTGACTGTCCATTCTCAGTGATTGGGTTGGAGTACTGGATGGACCAATGTCTCTCCACTTCCATTAATGTGAAGTTTCAAAGTCGTTAATTACCTACTTGCCAAGGCTTTTCTGCAGAAAATGGTTAAAAGATGCCCGTCTTTCTCTCATTCTCTGAGATTGATGGTGGAAATTATGAAAGCAAAGCGGGCCAGCCAAGAAATTGTGTGTGTGTGTGTGTGTGTGTGTGTGTGTGTGATGGATTTACCGGAGTGTAATCTCTGGATAGATACGACTCTCCGGGCATTGGAGAGAAAGCAGAACAAATCTGTAAAAAGTGAAAGAAGATAAGGAAACATTGGAGAATCTTGGTTGGGGGGTGTCTCGGTAATGTTGAAGGATTAGTACTAGTATTTAGTAATGATGGTTCACCAACCCCAAGGCCAAGCACATCGTATTCTTTCCTCGTCGGACCTGTTTTTGTTCTGCCCTTTTTGGTTCTCTTTTTCCCTCCTCCACAATGGTCCACAATATTCACCACCCCCTTTTGACCATGATATGATTCACAAGTGTCTCTTTTGTGGATGTTTTGGTACTGTTCTGTGTTAAGTAGTACTCCTATGGAGTAGTAAGTAGTATTTGGTTTTGAGTACGTTACACAACAACACAGTAAAACTTTGCAATATGGAGTGAAGTGAGTAGGTGAGCAATGAGGAGTTACTGACGAAAAGAAGACAAGAAAGAAAGAAAGCAAAGACTGATGAGGATTGAGGGGCTTTGGTCCACGGTCAATTAATTTGAAAAGAACAGGAGGGGGGGTCCCATCTATGGAAGAAAGGAAAAGGGAAGAAAAAAAGGAAAATTCACCAAATAGGAGATACAAAGTGAGGTGTTGAATGAAGCTCTCAGAACTGAATCCGAATTTTTGTTCTTCTGTTTGACTGTTCTATATATAGCTTTTTCTTGAATTAGGAGGAGTGAAGGAAGAGTATCTTTCATCCTCTACCTTGATGTTGCAACTGCATCCTCCGCCTTTACCTTTTTCCGTCACTTTACATGTTTAGACAAACCATGAGGGGTTTCTTGGGTGTTTTTTAAACCATGGGAGGGTTTTCGTGCGATTTTGCAAATCACAAGGGTTTCTTGTGTATTACCCCAAAAATAAATACTTCTTCCGTCCCAAAATTTTTGTCCAGTTTGAGATTTTACTTTTAGTATAATTTGAATTAAAAATAAAAATCCAAATTAGACAATAATTATGAGACGGAAGGAGTATTAAATAGCAAGCCCACACCAACTTCCTCCTTTTAAACTCTTACTAGTCTACTATTACTACTATTGTATAGTTTGGCCATCCTCTCCATTTCTTCAATTCTCCTCCTCCATGAGAAGAACCATGAACAACAAAAAAGTGGTGGTGTTTAGTCCAACTTGCACTAGTAATAATGGTGGCAACAGATCAGTGGTTATGACCACCAGCAACAATCATCTTCACAACAAAAGCTTCAGCCGCTCTTCTTCTTTTTCTTCATCGTCTTCGTCTTCTTCATCTTCAGCACTGAGGTTTCTGAAGCGGGTTGGAGCTAAAGTGGCTAAGGCTCTGGGGTTTGGGTCCAGTTCCGGGAAGAAGAAATGGTCTGGCAAGGTGTCGGCGTCATCGGTTGGGCCTGGGCTAGTGAGATCCTGGTCATATGCAGAGTCAGTTACGGATTCTCACAGAGCTGAGGCTATTGAAGACTGCATTGAGTTCTTGAATTCTTCTTCTTCCTCTTCCTCTTTGCGACGTTCCTTTTCTACTACTAGCTGCTCTTCTCGCTAGCCAGCTCTCTTCTTCCATTTTTTAGCTAGATTACCGGCCCCTTCGTTTCATTTTTCTTTCTTTTGAGATAGTTTGTAGCAGTGCAATTTCTGAACCCCCAGCTGAACCAAAAGAGAGATATTAATTTTGAGGTAGGATTTAGTATACAACAACCTTGATTAATTATCAGGTTAATTATGGGATGCGGAAAGATTCAGAAGCGAACCAAGTATCAAAGATCACAGTTTCTGATGGTTCAATGAACTTGAGGTCAATTCTATGTATTCTACAAATGTATACCCCGCTCCCTGAGAATCCATGAAACGGAATTAGAATTGGAGTTATTACTATCAATTTATTATTACCGGGTTTATTTTCCTTTTCGTTCCTTTTTTAGTCTCTCTGGTTGAGTTTAATAATTTCATTGATATTACAATATCAGTGACGCCAAATTGATCAATATCAGACCTTTTGATGTACAAGTAAATCCTATCTATACTCCTAAACACTTACATATTGTTGGTCTCCGTTTGATCAAGTCTGGTGAACCTGTTCTAGTTCTAGGTTTAATCAGTAGCAAATCATCGCACCTGTTACAAGGAAAGAAAGTTTGTTAATAAACTCTGCTTGAATTTTTCTAGTGTTTCTCTAGTTCACAGTTTGGTTTGATTACGGCCGCAAGCCAGTTCATTGGCTCTTTGTTGTTTTATGCTACGATGATGATCAAAACGGAAATTAGATTTTACGTTAATAACGTTACATCCTAACGTTACTGAGAGTTTAGAACTGGGGAGTGTATAAATCCAACTGGAATCCAGAAAATCAAACAACCCTTAAAAAGACAAGACTACCGAGTTAATACAACAAATCAACCGAAGAAGAACGTCTCAAATTGGTCTAGTCTTCCAAGGTGGCAGGTGACAGCATCCATAAAATTCTCCACCATCCAAATGATGTCCGGTGACACATTTCAGTTTCACCTTTTAATCAAGATTTACAGGCATTCCTATTTCGAAATATAATAATCGAGAAAAATTACTTTCTTTTTGCTCAGCTCGATTCACAAAAATTCCTAATAATCGAATCCCTTTATATGTAATTTACCCCGCATGCACATTTCCAGTGACTCATGATGATGGGTCGATACTGAGTTTCTCCACACCTCGGATTCCCTGATTTAGTGCTTTCTTCATGTCGAGAGCTCTCTTGTATGGAGGTGCTATTGGCGGTTGTACAGGTTCTAGACTCTGATATGTCCCATCTGCTGTTTTAGGAAGTGGATAAGACTGGTCCGAGTCATAACCATTCAAATCTCCACAAGCAAGAAACGGAATGTAAACCTTGTTTGGCCCTTCCAACCACCCACTGCTACAATCTGCAACACCAAGTGAGTTTCATTAATGAAACTAAAACTAATACCGCACTCAAAACCCCCCACAATAAAAGGGAAAAAAGGAATTTTCAACAGGAAGTTTAGCATATTCAAAAGTGCAAAGCGTGCCACATGCTGACATTCTTGAAACCAGACTCCTCTTTCTACTATTTCAGTTGCATTACCTAGATCATCCACACCAGATGGACTTCCAACCTTTTCAAGGAGACGATGCAGATCTTTCTCATTAAACCCTTCTGGAGGTGAGTAGTTCTCACAAACTGCAAAAGCCTCTACATTCAATGACAACAAACGCAGGTTAGCTATAGTTGAACAAAGTTTCTGTGACTTCCAACCTTTTCTGAACGAACGGATACAACAAAACCAGGAGGTTAGCCCTTTCAAAAGAGTGAACAGTTGTCTGGATTTCAATCAAGCACTAAAAATCTAACATTATGATGACTAATATATTTGATTATCATATCAAACTATCTTGTTAGAACAAAATCACATTATCAGCATCCCCCACGATATATTCTTGCTCCCTACCAACAACAATTGTTCAAGTTGTTCAGTAAATGAAAGACAGATGAGAAGACAAAGCTTAATAATTACCAATGCTTGAGTTCCGACTGCTTTTCGGCTTAGCGAAAGTGACTTCAGTAAAGAACAGCTTCAACTGACAGTAAAGCAGACTGGTATCCTTTCCTCGAAATATTTTTGCAATAAATTTCCCACCTACTTTCAGTATGTGCGTGACTATTGTTAGACCCTGCAAACAAACAAATTTTGACACCGTAATTGAGAAATGGAATATTGAGGGGAAAGAAAACCATAAAAATGTTTCCGGACTTAAGGACCAACTGCAAGTATGAGTTGAGATTGCACGAATTCATCCATGTCATGTAGACCAGTAACTGCACAGAACACTCAAGCAAATTAGCCACCTAGATACAAAAAGGTAGCGGCCTTTAAAGTCAAGCCAAGTTCGAGTACTAACCATCAGGGGCACCATCACAGACAACCAAGTCAGCTTTGCATCCATCAAAATGCCTAATAACCTGAAGGAAAAAGAAAGGGGTAACAATTAGTAATGCAACAAAAGGTCAACTCGCAACAGAAGCGTATTCGCTCGTAGACAGATCTTGTGATCTTTACATACTTCTCAAACAAAGAAAATTTCACCCCAACCCATATGGAAGTATGAGAATATAGGAGAAAGCAAATTTATACCACTTCAGCTGTTCTTGCATTTGTTATATCTCCCTGTACTTGAATCACACCTTCGATGGGGGCCATAGGCTGCAAATCAATAGCCACTATAAGTGGAAGATCGCCATCCCTGCCAGTTATTGATAACACAACTCACAGGGTAAACAACACCAAAATCAAACAAAGTTCAACAAATTCAATAACACAGACGAGAACAAAATTTCTCGGGGGCATAAAGATCATGGTAATTATTGCTACTACATCATTGGGGGCGGGGGAGGGGGGGGGGATTAACAAGTAAACTTACTTTGAATCAGGCGCCAGCTTTGCCGGGAGGTACAATTTGCGACTCAAAACCTGGGGAGAAAATACCTTTCAGTTTAGCAAAAAGCTCCACACATAAATCACATTATAACTGAACAGTAATTTTCTCCATAGATGAATTGAGAACAGCAGTACCTGGTGCTAAACTAAACTACATTTAACTTTCCATCATGTTCAATCAAAGACATGCATGAAATCGAGAAAATACTTGAAAAATAGAGCAAAATTTAATAAGACATCCACTTCAGAAAACACATTCAAGAACCGTACCTGACTCCAGCTACCAGGTGCAGCACATAAATCAACAACGCGATTTACCCCTGCAAAATAAATCGGATATATCTTAAACATGAGGCAGCAGGGAACCAGAACAGAAATAAATAGATCAGCGGCAAGTTTAAACGACAAGAACTAGGAACGTAGGTGTTCTCAGTGTTTTTCTGCAACCTCAGTTTTTTTTCCAGGTTAGGAATGGTTGAAGTTTAGACAATGCAAAATATGCTTTCTGTTCTATATAGTCCGACTTCACTCCAACTCAAATGCCCAAAATTTCAGCAATTTTAATAATTGAGCTAAAAATTTGCACAGAAAGAAGCATGCTTTGTCAACAAGTCTAATCTAATTTCATTTATAACACAAAGAACCTATACCCTTCCCTATTCTTCACCTAAACTTTTTTAAGCCTCATTATGGTCATCTTCAAATAATAACAATGAAAAAGGATAATCAACTTACCTTCAAAAATGTTGAATTCTTCATCAATCTGGAGAAGCTTGAAAGCACTACGAGCACGCCATCCTTCCTCTTTTGCTTTCCGATAATATATATCCTTCGCATTCAAAAAAAAAAAAAAAAACAATACTCAAGTCCACCCACCAAAGAGCTAAAATAATTCTTATGAAAGTAAAAATAAATAAATTTACCCTCTTATCTCTGGAAGCCTTCCCCATGATTTGGAAGTGCCGAATATATCTTGAAAACTGCAGCTTCCCTAACCTTCGAGCGGTGTTGTCTACTGAATTTGAATGCTTGAGGTTAAACAAAAGGAATCGGCTTCCGTGTTTGAGGAAGGAAGTGGTTCCGGAGACCAGGAGCTAGAAAGGAAGAAGACGGAAGTGACGGATGGCTTGCCGTTGGGGAGACGCCGGCGGCAGACACAGAGCGGGAAAGAACGCCAGACGGCAGCATTTTGGGTTCTTAAGAGAGAAGGGGCTCATAACCTGATATGGGTTTGGTGCGTTTCCTGGCCCAAAACAGCTCAAATTTAATTACATTGGGCTTGATCTGTTGTCGTTATAAGATTATATAAAATAATTATACTCTTTTTTTAAAAAAAAAAAAAGAAAAATCACCTTACAAGTGTCTACACTATTATATGAGTGGGTTTATGGAAAAGGGGATACTATTACTAGGGGGAGACTCAACACTCCACGTGTGCATTCTTAGTCTACTCGATCCTTTGAAACGTATCTCTTTCGGCTGCTGATACTTTCTATCTTGCAGGAAAATTGGCCAGCGATAAATTAGTACTGTGGGGTTCGAACCCGCGACCTCGCGGTTGGATGCTAGGGCCTCTAGCATAACATAATAAAAACCATTACCTCATGGTTACACACCAATTAATTAATTACAGAAAAAGGGGAGTAAGTGTACAATACGTAATAGGACACAGAAATCGTGCTTTCATATGGCTTGACGCAGACAAACTAGTTGCAAGAAACCAAGGTTATAAGTTTGAATCAACACTAATCTTTGATTATTTTATTTTTATCTATACTAATATTTTATCTATACTAAAATAAGAGTTTTTGTTTGCTAAATTGAAATATTGATACGCGTGACCCTAAGTTTTGGATGAAGCCCACGGGATTACAAAAATTTTGGCGTTGATCTTTTGGTGCGTTTTTTTTTTTTTTTTGTTATTATATAGTAGTACATCATTTCGTTAAAACTAAGGCCTAAGTGACACTTGACTTGCACTAACAGTCTAAAACAATTGTAATAGTGTTTTTTTTCCTCACCCCAAAGTGCAAAATCAACTGGTTTTTCTTTAGGAACGTCACCGCTTTGAAGAGCCATTATACATTGGGTCATCACCAAATGTCAACTAAACTGTTAGTTATTGCTCTGCAGCGGTTTCATATTCTGCATCCATCCTAGTTTTTATTGAGTTTCTACAATTGCAGCTTATCTTGTTTTGTACTTTCATCCATATTGAAGCGCGCTTAATTGCTTTTTTCTCCCATCTTAAGGACAAGCCAACTCCGAAAACACACGAATGAGAACGATCCAAAGATTAGAATTGGGTAATTCTTGAAATTTGCAATTACAAAAAAAACAAGAAAGAAAGAAAGAAAGAAACTTGGTCTTCTGCAATGTGATACTTGTACATGCATGGAAGTGCAACATTTTTTATATCTACAAGTTGTTGTTTTGCGGTTTTGAATTGTCAGAAAATCAGGCCTCCGTATAGTGATTTTTCTTGTTCTGAAGGTATATATATTATTGGAAAGGCTTCTTCCAATTACCATAAACTGATCAGATGTTGGATTTTCTTTGGCTGCAGTTGTGGGATGGACAAATTTATTAGTAGGGTATGCTTTGTGGACGCTTATGATGTATTTAACAGACGTTTGGAAGCTTCCCTTCACAGATGCAGCTGTTATTCTCAATTTGTATTATGAAGTATCAGCCTTCTTGCCCTTATTGTTACAATTCCTAGTTGATACTTTGATGGGGAACTTCTGGATGCTCCTCATTTCTTCTCTAGCTTATAGCATGGTATACAGTTTATTCTAATATTCACTTTGTTCTCAAATTATTGTCCAATTTGATTTTTTTATTTTTAGTACAAATTGTAAAGTAAAACTCCAAATTAGTGACTAACAATTTTGGGACAGATATACTCCATCTGTCCAAGAAAAATAATTTACTTTGTTAAACTATGACATTACAAGAAAGTAGAATTTTTTTTGAGATCGGAGGGACTAACATATTTTGGTTAGAGTTAATTTTGACGTATTAGTTCCCCTTTAGCTTATGTTTTGAATTTGTTTTCCTTGAGTCATTTGTGAAAAGTTCGGGTGTATCAGTGGAAAATTGTAACATTTGTTTCTATAATTAAAAACTTCTTATGTGAGCAGGGACTGGTTTTCTTGGCAATGTCAACACCACCTCTACTTTCTAAGGTTACGGGGTCATGTAGTTCATATGAGCCTGAATGCATTGGTGATGCTCAGCGCGTACTGTTTTACACTGCATTAGCGTTTATAGCGGTCGGGACAGCGGGACACACAGTTTCCTTGTCGAGTTTCGTGGAAGAACAAGGACAAGATGCAGATTCAGCACCAGATAATGTCACATTCGGATCGATCATTGAAGTCCGAGTTCGTAAGGTAGTTGGATTTGGAATCCCTTGTTTTGCAGTTCTGGGTTTCCCCTATATAAAGCCATGGTCGCTTCATTTCGGAATTCCAGCCATATTTAGTGTGGTGGCAACGCTTATATTCATGAGCGGTTCATCTAGTTATACTTGTGTTGAACCTCAAGGTAGCCCTCTGACTATGGTGATGAGGGTGTTTGTGGCTGCAGCATCCAAAAATAATCATCCACATCCATATCATAGCCAGCTCAATGGGATGGCTAATTCAGAAATCCCTCACACTTGTCACCCCCTCCGGTTTGTGCAAATTAAATCTTGCTTGTGCATTCAGTATATGCCTTTTGTTGCTCTCTTTCATGCTTAAAATCAGCTAGAAAATCTCAACAATTTGACACCCTCTATCTCATAATTATTGTCCAGTTTAGTTCTTCATTTTTAGTAAAAATTGAACTAAAAGTGAAAATCCAAACTTGACAATAATTGTGGACAGAAAGTCTAAAATTCAAAACTCAACGTGGATTATCTTTTATGGAACGACAGGGAGTACAGTTTAACTGACAAGTCTACTCAAAAAGAAGCAAAGAATACTCTTTCAGAAAAAGTGATATAAAGAAAATCACTTATAAGTTTATCTGCTCCAGAATTTCACTTTCAACACTTTTCTTAGTCTCAATTGAACGTAATTGTACCATGACTACAATTGTACCATGACTACTTTGAGGCAAACCATTAGCATGTTTCCCTTGGAATGCAGGTGCTTGAACAAGGCTGCACTAGTACTACCAAATCAGTCTCTGGAAGAGCAACAGAACAATAGGTGGAAGCTTTGCACGGTCGCGGAAGTTGAATACACAAAACACATAGTACGTTGGGTTCCCATGGCCATCTCATTCATGAGTTTGGGTTTACTCATCTCACTTGGGGTCACATTTTTTGTGGAGCAAGCAAAACACATGAACCACAAGGCGGTCGGAAGCCTAACCGTACCGTTGACAATCTTCTGGTGGATCACTGCTCAAGCAAGGTCGATTGTCCCCGGTGTGTATTATACAATCTCAGTTTTGAGCCACCCGAATGAAGTAACCAGGCATGCTAGGGCGGGAACAAAGGTATCAATGCTAATAGGCATCTTATGTTGCCTGACTGCTGCAAAAGTGGAATCTCATAGACTTGAAAGGAACCACCCCATCTCAGTATTCTGGTTACTGCCTCAATTTATCCTGCTTGGTGCCACGCAGGGGATGTACGAATCGGGTTTGGCTCTTACCAGTTCTCAGATTTTCCGTTTCAGGCCTCATTTGGCCAAGTTTATGGCACTGTTTACCAGCATGGGGATTAATATGGGATTCATAGGCAGTATTATTGCAATAAATGTATTGGGTAAGGTGACTAAAACAGGGGGAAAACAGGGCTGGTTCCAGGACACCTTAAACCATAGTAGACTTGACAATTATTACTACTTTCTGGCCGGCTTATGTGCCGCAAACCTTGTGCTTTACTACATGGTGTGGAAGTTTTGCCGAGGCGAAGATGATTCCTAGGATTCCGACGATTTTGAATCTCTCAATGCAATCGTCTGCTTTTGTCTTGTTCTCAGAATCGCAGGTGTGATGTGGACCATGGTGTTTTGTTTGGAACTAAAGGATCCTCCTCCTTCAATCATGTTACTATTTCATCTTGAAATAAATATAGACATTGTTTATTCACCCTATGGAATACATTTACAGTTGGGAGGGGAGAAGTATTCACTTTGAAACGTTCTTTTTCTTTGGCAATACAAACTGAAAGGATACATTTAATAACAATGTTCATCGTTTAGATGAAGAAAACTCATCTCCACTCGTTTGCCAAAATTATGCACCGTAGGGATTAGCGCCAAGTGCCTTATTCGAAACAGCCTTTATTGAAGAACCAATCGGATTTTATACTTTCTCCATTCCAAAATAACGGTCAAGTTTGGATTAACACTTTTAGTACAATTTCAACTGAAAATAAAAATACAAACTAGATTATTATTTCAGGACATAAGTATCATTTTTTTGGTTGGTAATCCCGGTAACTATTGCTTCCATTTGTAGCTCCGAACATACAACCATTATCAGACCACTTAAAAACCTCTTCCACCCAACAATCTTAATATCCTCGTACGAGACTTTGCACGTGTTGTATTATAATTTGTGAAAAATAGAAAATGACACACATATATATATATATCCAACAAATAAAGAGAAAAAAATTAGATATTTAATTGTTTTACTAAAATAAAAGAAAAATGTATTGAAAAAGAGTACTTCCTTTGTTGGTGACAATTTAATTGCATGATATAAAGAGAGAGCGTGTTAAGACCTCTCCATAAACCCTAGAACTGTGGCCCCTCGATTCGGTAGAAAATGTTGAAGCTAAAGTTGGCTAAGGCTAGTCCGTTGAAGAAGGCTGTGGGCGCTATTAAGGATTTGGTGAAGGAAGTGAATTTGGATTGCGACGACACCAGGTTGGCCTTGAAAGCCCAGGATTCCAATGGCTACGTCCGTGTCGATTCTTTTTAGATCTGAACACTACAGCTGTGTCGGCGGCAGGATTTCCATGGGTATAAATCTGAGTAGTATGGATGAGGTTTTGGAAGATGGCGGAGATGATGACATGGTCACTATGTGAGGTCGACAGCGACCAGAAGAAAGTTGTTTTCGAGATCGAAAACCCCATCGGAGGGAAGGTTTGGGCGGATCTGAACATTTGAGAATATGACAAGAGTAAGTGGCTACCAGCTCCAGAACTACCGTATCGTGCAGTTGTGACCATGCCTTCAGACGAGCTTACAATCATTTGCGATTACCTTGTCCGCTTTGATGACGCAGTTGGGATATCTGTGACAGAGGAAGGTGTTGTTAAGTTCTCTGCAAAAAATGCTGAAATTGTTCGCTCTCAAAATGCAACAGGAAATAAGAAACCTGAGAATGCAGTTTAATAGACATGAAGGACCCAATTTCCTTGACATGTGACCTCCAAGATTTGAAGTCCTTGTCCAAAGCAAGGCTACTGTCTAACTCGGTAATCATTGGATTCTTTTCGGAGCTCCTTGTTACTTTGGAGTACAAGATCGCTCGCTTAAGGTTCTATTTGGCAACAATTGAAGTCTGAATTCTTGGTTCTATTGTTGTCTTTCTTTTCTGTACCTATGCTCTTCGTGTTTTTGTTTATGAAATCTCTCTATAATCTTTTTAAGGATTGCAGGAGTGGCAATTGAATTCTATTATGCAATGGAGTAGTTTTCTTCAGAGAGTTAAGACCTTAAAAGATTCAGAGTTTGTAATTTGAAAATTCTAATATTTTTATTATTTATACAACGTGTATGAAATACCAATTACATCATGTTCCAACCCAAAGAACTATCTCTTATAGCAGTTCAGTAAGTTTTACCAATCCCATCGATACAATAAACGCTAAAATAGCAATAAAATTAACTGCAAAATTTGCCTCTCTATAAACATGTACCAACTCCCCAGTCCATTGATGACACAAGAGCTCTCGGATGCTGATGATCAAACCTACATCTTTTTCAATTAAACCACATCTGTGACACGTCTTTTGTGTTTTTCAACTAAACTACATTGATCGATTACCCGTGCCTAAAAAGTATATGATCCCATTCCGCAAATCAGGCCAGCCCCATATTTTTTACTTTATTTATTTATTTATTTTTGTTAAAATGCAAAACAGAGCAAGTAGAACACAGAATTATGTTTCCAATTCCGTCTGAAGCTCAATGAAGTAAAAAGTCTAGGAAGTTTTGATGAAACATCAACCTGGGGATTTAAATCACGAAGTCTGGATCGGCAGCATCACTTCAATGACAAGATGACAGTGGTTGCTTTCTAAATGAAATCCCAATAGCAAAAGCAGCCTGAATTCATTCGTTTGCTGCGTAAAGTTGCTATTTAACCAGAGTGCTCTGTCAGCTCAGCGTTACATGCTGCATACTAAAACCTCAACGGATTTGTCCTTCAACAGAGAATGAATGCTTTGGACATGGGCACTTATCAAACCTCTTCCTTGAATTCTGCTTCACTATCGTTTTCTTTCTATATACAGTTTGGTAATGCCCTCTGCAAACTAAAAATACATCTGAAACACAGTGAATTGAAGATATCCACTCTTGATTCAAATACATAATCTAGTGCATCCCATGCAAAATCAATCAGACCACTGGAGGGCTCATCATAACCAATATGCCTCGTGTCATGGTCAAGCTTGAAATAGGATACTACAACGGGATGCCTAAAATGTGCATGACAAAGATTCCTTCTCTCATACTAACCACGTGCACCTCTGCAAGAGTAAGAAAAGAAAGTGTGTGTAACTTACAAGAGTGGAATCGAATACCTCAAACCCCTATATTTGAATAAAATGATGAAAAACCTAGGCAGCTTGAAGCTACCAACTATGCGCCCAAGGGTCAAACCACTTAACAGCTCCCTGAAAATCTATAAAAAGGGCAGTAAAATTATTATCTGAGATCCCACGAAGGACGTGTCTCTGATTGGTAAAATATTAGTTGTAACAATCAAAGGCCAACTGACTCAAAACACACAATATTTTGCACTTTCACTAGAGAATGGATGTCTTATTCACATCATATCGATACAACCTGAAATTAAACAGAAACACATGTCAAAAACAGGAAATGCGTAATACACGATGAACACAGTGATCACAGACAAAACTAAAGCCAGCCATTAAAAATACTAGTTTCAAACTTGCCTGCCTCTACAAACATATTCAGCAATTTGTGAGATCCATTTCCAGCAAGTCATCCACAATTTACGGCTCAAAAGCAATGTCATAGATATAAGGTAAGGGCAAGCACATTAAGCATTAATGGCCTGACTATCCCATGAACCCAGCGAATGTGTCCTTTCTATACAACTGGGCAGTTTGAGCAGCTGCACTTTCCTCAGGACAGAGAAACCAAACCCGAAAACTGTGAGCTTTGCCAAACCAAACCTCAACACCCTCAAACCTTCTCTAGTCCCAAAAAAAAACAAAAAAAAACAACAACAACAACAAACCAATCTACCCCCACCTTCAATTTGGTTTATAGCCCTCTTTATCCGGCCCTTTATGTAAGAGATTCCTCCTAATTAACCCTTCACTCAAATGAAAGCTTTGCTAAGCAAAAAAGCAAATAAAAAACTGAATGAAAGTTGTATCCCCATCATATCAGCCAGCAAATTGGGAAATATAATCAAACAAGTAGCACATCAATCAGGGGATACATGCATACTGCACAAAATACACACAGTGCACAGTAATTATAAATGATGCTAAAGTAAGCCATCAACTAAGTCTAATACTACAAGAATTCAACAAGAAAATAACAGCAGGACCAGTTAGAAGTATATTTAGAAGTCAAAACAACTTACAAGAGATCAAGCACAAGCCTACCTCCATAACACACCCCGGTTTATCATCCCCAGGATAGGAAAAGGTATTGCCGATGCCAACTATTGAATGTGAACTGAGTCGCAACTTCAAGTCAAGCAAAAAGCCTCAAATAAATTCATAAGTTAAACATAATGGCAAGCTGTTCCAGAACCAGGCACAGGTACTGAGTAGATATGCATCTATAATCTATTGTGCATTAATCGGCTGCCATTTGATCAGGACAGAGGAATTAAACCTGAAAATTGTGAACTTCGCCAAACCTCGATTCCTTCAACACCTTCTCTAGTTAAAAAAAGTCGATCTCCACCTCCTTCAATTTTGTATATGGTCCCCCTTTCTGAATCCGCAGCTTTATCCACGAAATTTCTCCTAAACAACTCTTCACTCAAAATTATTTCTTCTTCCTCCTGCTGATCACTTATCCTACTCCACACCTCGAGCTCGCCTTCTCTCCCAACAAATACCTGTTTTCTGTAGCAATGTACTGCACAATTGCCCCCATCGTTCACCATCGGTCTCATACTGGGATTCTTCTCTTTCAGATAGACCCATGGATCGTCACTTAATCGACGAAGGTCAGCCATTGCCAAGTCTCCTGATTTAGAGCAGAGTTTGACAAGGGTCAAGTCGTCCAAATCCACGTCCACAGCAGCGAAAGAGTCCCCGAACCTGCTGCTCCTCCCTGAACCCGGCTCGTTGGTCTCCCAAACCACAGCTCGAGACCTTGGGTCCCACAACCGGATGTAACCCGAATAACCGAACGCCCCGGAAGTCACCGAAACTCCTACCAAGAGTCCGTTTCTCGGCACGTACGTTAAGTTTCCGGCGACCATGGCCTTAGAAGAGTTCCCGGACTGTCTCGTGATCTCAGAGACAACCTGCGCCGTCGACTTGTCGATCATGAGCACGCAATTTTCCTTGTGCTGGCAGTCGAAGGAAGCAAAGACAGAGTCGTCGGAGTCCCCAATCGCATGGACTCGGGCTTTGAAGATTCTCGGGTCGCCAGGGTCCACCCAATCGACCGACCCGACGCGGTATCCGTTGGCTACGTTGAAAAGATGAAGACCCGGGTGAGTTTCTGACGAGACGGCAGCTATTCCCGGCCGGATCCTCCGTACATGGTTTATATAATCGAGATGAGTCCGGATTGTGGCGGAGTGGGTTAAGTTCCAATCGTAGACCGAAATCTGACCGCCGTGAGCTGCCCAAACAGAACCATCGGAGTCGATGGCGTTAAAATCGGAAACAATGGGGTCGGAGGCGGGTCGGAGGGTGGTGAAAACGGAAGCATCGATGCCGGAGAGGGGAGGCGGAGCGAGGGCGGATCTCAGCTGGGATTCAATCCCGTAATAGATTGCCTCGTCGACAAGTTCTTGGTTGGAGAAGCGTTTGGCGGTTGAAGGGAGGCGATTGGAACGGAGAAGAAAGAGGAGGACTGAAAATATCTCGGGGTCACGGTCTATGAAAACGGGGTGTTGAACCGGGCGGTTGGACAAGACGGAAAGAAGAGAGTCGGGACCACCGGAGCGGAGGGTGGAAGTAGTGGTCTCGAAGAGCTTACCGCCAACATTGAGCTTGATGCGGTCGGAGGTACCAGAGGATTGACCGGCAAAAGAGTTGGAATCATCGCATTCCATTCCCGGACAGGTATTTTCTTCCCGGGATGAAAGGGTTCCTAATTTCTAGAATGAAAGATTTCGCTAAAAGAAGCCGGCGACCTTTCTGAGGCGTACTACTTTGGACTTTTGTGGCGGTTCCCGCGGTCAACTTTGTCAAAGCCATGACAACCAGTTCCAAAAACAAATAATAAAACAGTCTTCCGCTTGACCGAGCAAACTTCGAAGGATTTACATTACATTTCTGAAACTATTAACTGTATCTATCTCTTCTATGCTTTTTTTTTAATAATTTGATTTTTTTAATTTAAAACTGTGGAAAATTGGAAAGTGGATACAGATTCTTTTTTTTTATTTTTTTTTTTATGTACATGAAAGAAGGCCAATTCCTATATCATACATAGTATCATACAACATTATACAAAATTCCCATTATATCGTGACGTAGTCACTGAGTGACTAAGACAGGAGGTCTATCTAGTTTCCTAGTACCACAATCCACTTATTCCGTCATTCCTGCCAAACCATCTGCGGCAAAGTTAGCTTATCTATTGAGTGTGTTGGAGAGTAATCATCCAGTGTCTATCCATCAGCTCCCTTATGCTTTCAATGAGGTTTTCATGAATCCCCAACGGCCTAGCCTGTTCATCACCAACCTTACGGCAGTGCTACTGTCCATTTCAACGACTTTCCGTGAAAGTGGATACAGATTTGTGTTGATGGTAGTCTTCTGTATATATCTCCATCTTTTTGGAAGTTCTCCAATAACATTCGTTTTCGCTTGTTTCGTTATAGAGCTCAATTTGGTTCCTTTGCGTAATGATAGAGGTTACGATCGCGAGCACTCGATATGAAATTTTTTGAGTTGAATAATTAATGGTTTCCAGCATGTTTAATTGACGATACACATGGCATTTTATGATACCACAGTTGATTGGGGCTCTGCCTAATGATTTCCCACCAGAGGAGGATTGAAACTACAAAGTTGTAAGCGCCATCGACTATATTCTAACTCTATGGCCGGAGGCTGGCGTAGCAGCTGGTTAAGTTGGTTTCAAGATTTTTAATACTGGTGATTGGGCAGTACAAAAGTGTCTCCGGGCGCGTTCAGAAATTCATAGCTTCAAAGCGTGAGAGTTTCAGCTACGTACGCTGATAGAAGAAACTCTTGTACTGTCAATATTAGTCCCCTTGATCATAAGGGGGTCATTCGGGTAAAAGTAATGATAATCCCGCAGATCATTTGGCCCAGTAATCCGCGTACAAAACAAATTCGTTTTCACCAGGTGGTGCTTGTTGTACTAAAACTCAATTCCCATTTCCCAGCGGCAGAAATAGCAGCCAACAATTATGATTTTATGAACAAAAAAAGCATCTAAGCAGAGACAGCTCCGATGATCTGACCAGTTTCCCAATTTGTTGGTTTCTCCATTATTTAGCGTACTAATGCTGACACACACAAGTCCCTCCCAAGAAAACTACCCCCACCACATTTGATGTCAGAAATGGAATTCTTAAAAGCAATCTCCAAAGTCTTTAAAAATTTTGTTTCCAGTTGTTATTATCAGTACTATTTGATAAGCAAGCGGTTTTTGTTTGCGTATTAAAGACAATTAGTAGTATTAAAGAGTGTTGATGGGAAAACGGGGGTAGCAAATTGGAGGCTTAACCGAAATGCATATACATTGAACTTAACAAATTCAGTACTACTACACCAATATCATTGTAACAATCAACAATTATTTGCATCATTAATTTTGATACCAAAAAAATAGTAAAATCACAAACACATTTCCCCACATTTTTCTAACAAACAGCATTGACTGATTAATAAAATCCATTAATTCATCACTAAAAATGATTATTTAGTCTTCATATCATCCTTGTCCGGATTCTTCTTCCGATCAACTACCCGCCCATCGGTTCCGGCCATCATCGCATACTTATCTTTCCGGGTCAAATTCGTACACTCGTATCCCAGCGTATCCGCGATCACCCTCTGGATATAATTCGCCACCTCAATCGCCGATTTCCCTCCGGCCTTACACGTCAGCTCTGGCGGGAGCTGATTCAAGAACGTGATCTCGTACGTGGGCCTCGGGTTCATGAACACGAAATACGGGTCCAACATCTTGTACCCGCGTACGGTGGTCCCGTAAAACACGCTCTGCTTCGTGTTGATCGCCACCGGCACGATCCTGTCCGTCAATTCAGCAAACAGCGCGCTGAATCTCAACAAGAACGGCTCCCGGCAAGTCGTCCCTTCCGGGCAAATCACTAAATCCCCTTCCTGGAGCAACCGTTTGATGTTCTCGGCATCTTTTTCCCTCTCCCGGGACAACGCCACGGCTTTGATCGGCGAGATCATCTCGGAGAATTTGCTAATGCTGTAAGTCACGCAGCTGATTTTCCTCCCCAGCGCCACCGCGGTGACGACGGGGTCCAGCACGGCGCGGTGGTTGCAGACGAATAACACGCCGCTCTGGCCGTTCTTGGGTGGCGGAGGCGGGTTTCCTTTGACTACGAGTTTGATGCCGAGGATCATGTAGTTGTACCGGACGATTCTTTCCGGCAAGGGAATGTTTAAGTAGACACGGAGGAGGGAGAGCACGATTCCGACCGGCATCCATAGGAAAGTCAACAGGGCAACCAGTGGGGTCGGCCTCTGTACTAAGCGGCCTTCATGAAATATGACTGGGCTTAGCAATTTGTTTCTTGGCAGCGGATTCCGTTTTGTTCTTGGCACCATGTATCCTTCCTGCGTTTTTTTTCCAGTTATTATTATTATGCATGTAAACAATCATCATACTAATAATTTTTTTGATACATTCAAAAAAAATCACAAATACGCTAGGCTTCAAAGTAATATTACATAACCATATATGTATGTGAAAATCAACAATCATTTGCATGATCAAATTTAATCCCCATAAAGCAAATGAAAACAGTGATTCAAAAACACATATTTCCAGAAGAGTTTGGAAGCAAATTATGAATAAACTAATTCATGATTTTCTTGAGTAATTGGCTCTTTGGGAGGGGACTGCACTTGGTTCTTGGCACCATGAATCCTTCCTGCAATATGCGTTTCAGTTTGTGCATATACAACATGTAAATAATATTTGCCATGCAAATTTAATGCATATACGTATAACGTTTATAAAAACGTTCACAAGGTGGACTTGATTTTTTCACCTGTTGTGACAATTAATGAATATGTAATATCATATTCTTCTTCCTCGTCTTCTTTCTTGGACCACCAATAATTTTATCAAGGTAAATAAAATTGTAAAAACTATTGAAAAAAAAAGAAACAAAATTATTAAAAATATTTTTTTAAAAAAAAAAACAAAAATTCAGGCCAATAATTAAGTACATGAGCTGTAGCATTTAATTAAAATGGGAAGGCTGGTTGTGCATAGACTAGTTGTGGTGTCTACGAGATGATCTAAATGGATGAGTCCTTATCTATAAATTTCCATTTATTGTGAAAATGAAAGCTGAAGGATCAAGGACGGGAAAATGTTAAATACTATTATTAAGCATGTATGTAGTTAAAAGAATAAGAAATATATATATATATATATATATATATTCTGCCAAAATGTACACTAAAATGATATACTTCTTTCCATCCAAAATATTTCACCTGCTAGGACAATCAATAATTTTGGTACGTTATCTTCAATAACTGATGTCTGGCGTAAAAACTTAAAATCTTGCCAGCTACAAAGTTTCAAAATTGGGTTGCTAAATGTGAGTTGATACATCATATTCACACACTGAGAAGTTACACCAGTTCCAGCTAACTTATAGCTAGTAACTCTTCTTTCTTAACTTATAGCTAGTTTTTGGGGGTAAGGCGTATAACGAATGAAAGAGGTTTGTTAGATGTGAAGATTACATGTTTTTTTTTTCTTGGTGGTTATGAAACTTCTGTCCTGTGATTTGGAGGTATCCCTGTCTACTTCAGTTGAAAACTTGATTTTTAATTTTTCGTTTGTGGCTATAAGAAAAAAAAAAAAGGAAAAAAAAAGAAAAAAAGAAGGAACGGTGATAGAATAAAAACAATCGAGTGAAATGTATGGATAAAATGTATCTAACAATCAAAGCCTCAAAACAATACTTTGCTAAAATTTTGGCTGGAAATCACCCACCAAAAGTAATACTCCCTCTGCCTCAAAATTATTGTCCAGTTTGAGATTTCACTTTTAGTACAATTTGAACTAAAAATGAAAACTCAATCTGGACAATAATTATGGGACGGAGAGAGTATATACTTACATAGGGTCTGCTCAGCTTCTTAATCTATTTCACTTTGATCCTTCAATTTTCAGTTTGGTTAAATTACGTTAATCGACATAATTTATTAAAAGTAACACACCATATGTAAAAAAGATTAAAAAAAATTTTAAAAACACCTATAGGTTTTCCAAATTAACATGTCTCGAGTCCGATCATCATGAGTAATTGAGGTGTGAAACATGTGTCTCATTTTCGAAAACTAGAAACTTAAGAGATTGAGTAAGATTTTAAAGTGATACCAGGGACTAATATATAAATATGACGAAACTAGTGAGCACGATCTGCATGTTTTGAAACAGAAAAAGAGAGAAAACACGGAAATGAAAACTGACCTTGCAAATGGACATGAAATCATGGTCGGTCTCTCTATCGCCTAGGCCTAAATCAGGCAGTTGTTGGGTCCCAAATTCCTTCATAATTGCATCCCTCTTATGTTGTCCGACAAGAACTCCTGGCTTCTTCAAGAACCCAGTAGCCCTCCCAAATCTAGAAACTTCCAGTTCGGTCCCAAGTACTTTATCCACCCCCAAGAAATTCTTGGCAAAATGTTCCACCATGATCCGCGGATTCGCAGTCACAATGTACCTTTTCCCGAAGGAATTAAAAACCTTCCACGTCTCCGGGTTGACGTCCTCGGCGTAGAATTTCGGGAGCACGGACCGGGAAACGAGTTCGATGTCTCGAACTCGTAGCCCGGCGAATGCGATGAATATAAGTGTTTGGACCGCTAGAGTTTCCGACACGAATATGTATGTGAAATATACGAACGGAACGGATGCTAGCAGAAGTAACGCCCGGAGTAGGCTTCCGGCTTCTAAAGCCACAAGCAAGAAGTAAGGAAATGAGCTTCTTGAGATGAGAATCGTGCCGTCTAAATCGGCTGCGACGGTTTGATTCGACCGTCCCTCCGGGCTACATTTAGAAATCGGCTCGAATTTCCGATGAGCACCCATCGGGAGAAAATTAATTTAAGAGTGCTTGTTACTGTGTGACTGTGTGTGTGTGTGTGTGTTTATGACCAAAAAACAAAAAACAAAAACGCTTAAGAGGGTGAGTCTTGAGTTGGAGTCTCTTGATGAGGGGGATGAGGAGGGTTTAAAAAGAAATGAGAAAGTTGGCCATGAGAAAATTAAATACGATATTGCTGTATTAGTAGTAGTAGTAGTAGTAGTATTAAAGTCTGTTATTATTAGGGCGCAAGGAGGAGAAGGAAAGAAAGAAGAGAAGAAAAAATAGAGAAGAGACGGTGATGATTTGTGGTGGTGGTGGTGGTGGGGAGTATTTAATTTATTCACCACCAAATATTATTTCTGGTTGAGACTTTTCCAGAGGGAGGAACGGAAATTGTTTTTAAGCTTATTGACAATATTTTTCTTGACTCATTGAACCATTCTGTCTCGTATATATAGTGATGAACATTGAAGTAGCATTTTTTTGGTGCCTTGTGAGAAAAGAAAAAAAAAAAAAAAAACAAAGTGAAATTAGTCCATCTTCTCTTCTAAAATGTTCCAGTTATAAGTAAGATGCAGTTCCTCATTTCGTTAAAAAAATAAAACCTAATTTCTGCAAAGCATTTAAATTCTTTTTGCATTTTGATGTGATGGTTATGTGAAGAAGATTCAACAGCGTTGTCACACTGGATATTTTGACAGTTTCACTAGTATAACCTTTTATTTCTTTCTTTCTTTTTTTTTGTGAGACAAATTAGAAGAGATAATATTGCCAAAAACTCGTTTTTCTATTTGGGGAGAAGAATTTACGAGAGGAAGAAAGAAGGGATGGATCATAAAATGCTATAAGTAGATTTGAGTTATGATTTCATTTAATTTGGATTTGTGGGGAACGTAGCTCAAATTAGATGAGTCATGAAGATGGGTGTGGGGTAGTTGGAAAGTCCATCCCAAAGGGCAAGGGCAGACCCTTATGTTAACATTGAATTAGCCTGCTTTTTTAGTTTTTAGCTGCCGTTATTATAGTTTTCTGCCGCCGCCTGTGCCCACTTTCTCCATAACTTTCTTTCTTTCTTCCTCCACCTTCACTTTACTTACTATTACTTACTGATATTTTTTTGTTTCATCAATTTGGATATCTTCAAAAAAAAAAATAAACATTATTCATTTCGATCAATTTAAATTAAGTTGCTGCCATATTGACCAAACCACATGCACCATAATCTTGCTTCAAATAATTTACGTAATACATTACTGTGGTAGAACGGAAATTGACTAACAGAAGTTTACAAGTTATTATTAGTAGGCAAGCCAAAAAAACTAGTACTAGAACGGAAAGGGAAAAAACAAAAACAGAAACCTACGTAGTACAATAATTGGACTCGTAGTTGGTAAAATGTTTCAGAAGGTCGTAAAGGTTTTTGATGATACGCGTCCTACAGTCAAATATTAAATTCAATTGGCATTTTCCTTGCGTCGAAACTGTTAATCCTTAAATACAATTTCCAGTTCCCACATGCTTCAATTATTTGTCTGCAAGTAGAATATTCATGTGCTGCTTTCGTCTAACTGTAACTCAATAATTTGTATAGTAATTCTCCACCATGGCATCTACTACATTATTATTTTGTTTTACTCCACCTTACTTACATGCGCTAACTCAACTGGTTATTTAATTTTTCTTGTAACAATGAGTATTATTTGTTAGGAGCGTTTTGTGTTTTTAAAAGGACTCAACTCGAATTCGAATGAATTATCAATGGATGATTTTAGATACCAATTGCATGATACTCCCTCCGGTCTTAGTAGGATTTTTTAATTGACAAAAAAATCTTTAAAATATTTCATAACAATCAAGAGAACACAAAGAATGTGAAAGTATATTTTAAAGATTTTTTAATACTTAAAAAATGTATACTAGGTGAAACTTGGGACAAAATCAAAATATCTTATATTAAGCACCGGAGGGAATATACCAGAAAGAAAAATATATAAAACTTATCTATGACAATTCAAATAAGGTATGTCTAGTGGTTATCAATGTGAAAGAAATATACCAACAAAATCCTATTTTTAGGTAATTCTTGTCGATGTTTGTCATTTGTTTTCTTTACTCTTTGTTTTTTTTTTTACACTGAACACGTTATGAACGAGAAACAAATATTCAAAAAATGCATGTGAATCTATTTTAGAGACATTCTAAAAATGAGAAGGTCGATTTTCCTATCCATTTCCTCACCCTTTATAGGTACTAGATATGGGTATGGTAGAGGGTAGTTCTGAAAACTTAATAAATAATGTAGGTGGAATATAAACACACAAGAAGTCGATGATCCCAGATGGCTTGGGTCTATCTCTTTTCTTTTATTTGATGCTATCTACATGTTGTTTCTAAAGCAATCTTGAATATTTTGGATATAATCATTTTAAAACTTAGAATTGCCTGTTGACTAAGTCACTAAGACTTTTTTTTTTTTTTTTATCTTGACAATTTATATGATATGATGATCTATGATCATGCATTCTTCCGCACTCTAGCTAGCTTGCAAATATTTAATGAACTTTTAGGTGATGAAAATCTTGTGAGTGTCATTCTTGCACTCTGCAGTTAAGCAAACAGTAGTCATGCATGATGATAATATATTTAACTCATACCATTTACACTTTGTGAAGGTTCAAAATGTTGGGTTAGAAATTGGGAGGTCAAAAGCTTAATTGTCATTTTTATCTGCGTTTTTAGCTCACCAAACAGATGCAAGTTGTTTAGTCATTTTAATTGCTTGCACTTAAATTAATTCATACGTTCTTAGATTAGTTAGTTGCGTGCTGCGCATAAGAAGAAAATGAATTTGAGCTTACTATATATTGCATGATTAAGTGCAAGAAGTAAAGGATTCGCATCTCTTTTTTGGTAACGAATGGATGAATGCAAAATCAAGTGAAGGAAGGTTGTTATGATTTGGAGTGGTCCCAAAAAAAAGTCTATTATTTCTTTGTTTCGCCACCTAATGAAATAAAGTTACATCTTCGATGTTCATGAAATTTGGATAATTTTGGATCAAATTCCTTCTCACTAAAGTTTTTTTATCATTTGTTAAAAAACATCTCTTAAATAGGGCGGCAATAAAAGATCATAGAGTTAACCAAAATAAAAAAAAATTTAAAAAAATCATAGGAATATATAGTTGCCGGCTGAGACCCTTTGTCTCACAAAAAAAAAAAAACATATTTTTATAAGCATAATGTAATAAATATATCTGTGTATATATATATATATATATATATTTGTTTATAATGTCTAAGATTTTCTGACCCGAGTGAGGAGGGAAAAAAGTGAACCCATTTAAATATTAGGTTTCATCTATAATGAAAGTGAAATTCATTGGAAATAAATTAAATGGACTTTCTTGGAAGCCATGGAACACAAACCAAATTTCATTGGGACAAAAGTCATGTGATATAGGATTGACAAGTGGAGGAAAGCCCTAATATTGATTTGAGATGAAAATCATCAAAAAATACTAACTGATGAATGGTCAGTTGATGATCCTAACGTTGTCAATTGGTGCGGTAGGGATACTAGTGTATGGAATTGGAGGAGAAGTAATGCCAAAACAAGTAAAAAGATAAATATAAAAGCTCTAGTCTTAAATGCTTGCATGGATCCAGCCACGCAGCCTACAACGTACGTACCTGACGCTCATAAGGTCAAGAGAAAGAAAGGAAAAAAAAAAATAAAAAAATCAGTTGTGGATGATGAAGGCGTGATCGTTAGGTCACTCAAAGTAGTAGTCCTCGCTCCCTCGTTGTTTGTTGCTTGTTAGGGATCAAATAGTTGCGGAAGATTTCTTTGTTGGATTTTTTCGACCATCTTTGTAGTAGCCTCGAATCCTTTTTTTGGTATGTTCAAAATACGTTATTTCGTTTATCTATTATACATAATTTACAAGTAAATTCATACTAATACTTATCCAATTTTGTAACAAAAGTTTCTGACTTTACATTTACCATGTATCGAGTCCAAGCTCGAAATTTTGTGAAAAGAAATCTTATCCCTAAAAAATCACATACTCCCTCCTTACCAAAATTATAGTTCCGTTTAGGTTTTCACTTTAGTTCCGTTCGTATTAAAAATAAAATTTCAAACTGGATAATAATTTTTAGACGAAAAAGAATACAAATGAGTGGATGTCGCTTTTAACTTGGATCACAATGGAGGTGGCGGAAGAGCTAGAGGCACATGGTCTTTGATTTGGGCATCACCTACTTAGACGGTTAATATTACACACACACACACTAGCTAGCTAGCCCCTTAATTTAGTTTTCCTTTTGTAAGCGTACCAAACAATCCCGAAAAATAATACCAAATTAAAATCAATCAAAGCTATGAAAACACACAACATGCATCAGCTATCAATCATCATCGATCCTCGTACGAATCCAACATTATTGTTAATCTAACTCAAGAAATGAGAAATCAATTTCCCATAATAGATTATGTTGTCTTCGCTAGCTGAAAATTATTAGTTGCATTTAGGGTTTTATATTTAGTAAGAATACAGTTTCTAGGGCGGGGGGGCCAACAAGAATCAAAACCGGATATTACAAGTTCTTAAGTTCATCTCACACTTAATTATACGGCTAATAAATCACCGTTTTCTAGAGGTTCTTTCACTTGACAGCTAGTGGTTTAATCAAATTATATACGTCGATTTCATGTGTGTTTATGTATAGTTTGGTTTTCTACCTCTTATTTTTCTTTCATTCAATGTCCTTGAATGCTTTTTCAAAAAAACAAAAAAAAAAAAAATGTCCTTGAATGAGGACCACAAACGTCAAGCAACCAAAAATTTAATCGCGTCCTTTGTCGCTAATTGAAATTTTGTTCCGGGAGGGACTGGAGAGAAAGAAAACATTATGCATTTTGGACATTTTTTTATCGATATACATGAATTTTATGATGGATTAACTAATTTTTATATATATGGCGACAACATGGTGTTGAAATTCATAAGGAATTTGATTGTGATTTCATTATAATAATATTAGATAACTTCCAAACAAAAAAAAAATATTTTCTGCATCTAAAAAAATTAATTCACTTCGTTAAAACTTCTGTCAAGCAGGATACGGTGTGCCTCTTTTAGTGTACCAACCATGTGCTACATATGTTTGGCCAGGAAGGAACGGAATTTGAACCATCTTTCATTTCTCCTTGCTTTCGTTTGGAATTTGTTTCCTAGTTATAGTGTTCAGATACAATTTGTAAACTGGATATACTTATTGTAGACTTGTGGAGAGTTTCAACCCTGTTTTATCGAAAGGTATCATATGTCTATATAAAGTTTAAATATATTTGTAATGTTACAAGTTACGTAATACCAAAGATTCAAGTCAAACATTTATATAGACACATAATATTTTACGGTCAACTCATTTGAATCTTACATAAACCATTCGTTTTTCTTTTTCATGAAACCCTAATGGAAACGTCAATAGAAATACTATTTAAATTTACAACGCTATATATTAACATCTAAAATTTTTCATTTTTGAATGAACATAATAAGCAACTTTTTAGTACGTCTCTGTCATGTATGGCTTCTAAACGAACCGAGACTCTCCTCAAGTCCCGACAAAGCAAAGACTTGGGCTTATTTTGAAAAGTAAACAAAACTGATAGTAGTATTTAGCCCGTATGAAGGAA